ACCCCACACTTTTTTGTCTTTTAATTATTTTAGTCCATCCGGCAAAAAATGGCGAACCGTATTTGGGAGTTGTGAGTGACTAGAGATGAGCAAAAGGACCAATGCGGTCAGACTAGACCGGTCTTTGGAAAAGACTGTTACAGTAAAGGACTAGATCGGACTAGTCTTTTTTAAAACCCGATCCTAACTAGTCTGGTCTTCTTATCAAAATCAAAGACCAAATAAGACCAATAGCCCAATCTAGTCCGACCGGTAGTCCAATCCGGTCCGGTCTCTAGTCCCAACATATTGGGTCAAGATTGTAGTTTGCGATGTTGTGCCAGGGTCACCGAATAGTTCATCAACTCTTTTCGCGTTGGTCGAGATTGCATGTTGCACTTTGCTCGCTCAATCGCTGATTCTCTAGGGACTAGCTCTACTGCTCTAAGACAGAGTGTTATGACGTTTGAGTTTATCTTGAAACTCTAAGAAAATACTTAGGGGATAGGGGAAGCCGAGAAGTATTAATCATTTCTAATTTGTATTATTACTCTATATTATTGTTTTAAGATTTTTATACGTACTACTCCGTATATATTACTCCCTATATACTCCGTAATTTACAAGTAATGTAATTAGACTCTAGAGGACTAGTTTTTTGGATTGGTCCTAGTCTTAAGACCAATCTTTTACTAGTCTCGGACCGGTTCAAGTCCTTAACATGTCTTATACTAGTCTTGGACTAGTCCTAGTCCTCTATAAATATTAAGAAACATTTGAGACTACTGGTCTTGGACTAGACTAGTCTCAAGGACTACTTCGGTCCCAATCTTTCAAGTTCAAATCCTAGTCAATCTCGGTCAATCTTTTCGATCCCAGTCTTTATGTTCTTCTCTAGTTGGGACCGTGTCACATTAGTACAAATTAATCATCCGGTGGAAATTATCATTATCTACCTTAAATTTCTACGGGATATTATCGGCTTCGAAATCAGCTGTGACACCTTGTACTCTCTCTGTCCCTAAATATTTGTCACATTTGTATTCCTGGGGCAAAATATCAATTTTTTCAATTCATTTTATTTACATATTGGTATAGAAATAAAAAATAAAATTTATATATATATAAAAACTACATGAAAAGTTCTTCGAAATAAGAGGTGTCAAAAATATTTTATTTTATCAAATAACCAATGAAAATGTAGAAACAAACAAAAATTCCCGCAATTGCTGAAAAAGTAAACGTTGCAAATAATTTGGGACGGATGGAGTAATATTTTTATCCACAAAACTTTACCATTTTTCTTTCCTGCAAAAAAGGGAACCATGTTAGTTTTATTTTAAGAAAAAAGAAAGGGTATTTGTAAGGCCAAAAAGTTAAAGAAAAAGAGATTTATAAGTCGCAAAGTTTTCCTTTTCTGAATTCCTCTCTCCAATACAAAATAGTTATGTTTCTTTTTTTTCTTTTTCTGTCTTCAAATGACCGAATCTCGCAGAATAAAATTATTTGTTGACTTCTTTGGTAAACAAAATTCAAATTATGAAATTAAAATTAGAGACAATAGTTTCAAGGGAAATGCTTGGTTCACATACATAATGATCACAAACTTCACAAACTTATTATTTGTGAACTTTCATGCATAAAATTAAATGGTCTAAAATGATTTTAAAATAAAATTTTAAATAATAAATAGTAAGTTTGTGAAGATTGTGAGTATTTTGTTTGTGAACATAGCATTGCTCTAATTTTAATTATTTTATTTGGTAGCACAATAATATGTGGATTTGAAATTGACAGTTAAATTGAAGAAATCTATTTCATCCAAATCAATTTGCCCTCATATAATTTTTATTTTCAATTCAATTCCAATTCCGTGTACCAAACGACTTATAATGTATTTGGCGAATGTGTAATAATTTGACCACAAATTAAGTATAGTTAGACATTATAAAAATTAAATATATCAAAATTACATTTTAAAATTAATTTAATTTTATTAAATTTACATCATAAATAAATATATATTTTTTCATGAAGTGTAATACACTCTGATAAAAAAAATCCAAGTGTGATGAATGTTTTCGGAGTATCGCTCCATGATTGATTACACATTCCATTTGTCAAATCTTGCGACCGCGTTTGGGTGATTTTTTTTCCCCATGGGAATAATAATTAGCCATTAGAACGTGGTTTGACTTTTTGGTTTCAAAAGGGGGCGCTGTTAATATAAACGTTGAAATATTTGGTTGCTTTCAGTGGTATCCAAACAGGGAGTAAAGGCCGCGATTGGTTCGAGCGTAACGGCGTTTATTATGGTCGTCGCGTTTGCTGGCTACACATGTCGTGTCAAAGCACTCAAGAGAAAACGAGGTATAATCTCCTCTCTTTTTTAATTCAAAAATACATGTAACCCCATAATAAAAAATATAAATGAAAGAAAACATATATACAACTAACTTGGTGAGGGTTATTTGACTAAAATATTTGGATCCAAAGGAAGAGAAAATGGAGAAATATCTTACTAATATTAAATTTATAATGTGAAATATAATGCCAGAAAAACACTGTAGAATGCAAACACCCCTGTTTAGGGGATAAAAATGTAAGAAATCTTATTTTGTTACAAGTTTTATGTTTTAATTTTATTCAAGTGGATTTCTTAAAGGAATAACATTTGGAAAAATGGGAAATGCTCAAAGTCACATTAACACCTATAAGAAGTTTGTGGTTAGAAGGTTTTTTGGACATCTTTTTGGCCCCAAAAAGTTGGATTTCAAAAAGCTTGTTTCTCAGGCTTTTTTACCTTAAAGACCTCATACAAACAACTTATTTTACCAAACAATTTTTTCGTAAACTATCGCGAGCGAACACAAACATCTACTTCAAAATTCTTCTTTTAGAAGAGTAATGTCATTTCTTTTTGTGGGATTTAATTGGACTTGTTGATGAAGAGTAATGGCCTTTCTTTGATTCTGATCCAGAACGGAGGAACCTTGGTGCTGTATCGAGTGCATACAACAGCTCGAATCTAAACTTTAAGTACGAAACTCTGGAGAAGGCAACGAACTACTTTGACCCATCTACGAAGCTAGGGCAAGGAGGGGCTGGGTCTGTGTACAAGGGCACTTTGGGCGACGGGAGAATTGTCGCCGTGAAGAGACTGTTTTTCAACACTAGACAGTGGGTGGATGAGTTTTTCAATGAGGTGAACCTTGTAAGTGGGATTGAACACAAGAATCTTGTCAAGCTTTTGGGTTGCAGCATTGAAGGACCTGAAAGCCTTTTGGTCTATGAGTTTGTGCCTAACAAGAGCCTTGCCTATTACCTTTTTGGTACTTCCTCTAACTCCTAAGTTTTTTTTTATTATATGTGATGGCTGTATTGGGAATACAGTTGACCCAATACACCCGGCCCAATTCGTATATTTAACTGTAATTGAGCCCAATGCCTCTAAGGAAAGCTCGCGTGATAGGGGTCGGAGTGGCCCGAGCTTAGAAGTGAGGGGTCATATAAGAGGATGGAAATAGATTCATATAGATATAGAAGATGATGGTACCATCATCTTCTGTATCTATATTTCCGGTGGATTTAATATCTATCAATACGATTTGTGCATGGGCCATGGACTAATTTCCCTTTTGGTCCTCGGTTTTTGCAGTTTTAACAATTTTAGCCCCGTGTTAACTCTTGCAAAGTAATCCCTGTGTCAAAATGGTGGGATTTTAGTCCCTCACCTCTAGCAACCTGAATCGTCTGTTGGTTATGAACTTGAGGCGAAGAAAGATTAAAACCATCACATAACTTTACACCCAAGAATAATTCTTGTATAACTGTCAATGAGAGACCAAGAGGGCCGTTTGGTAGGATACAATGGCAACTCGTCAGAAAAAAATTCAATGTGTAAAATGCACTTGTACTAACACAATTTTCATAGCACTAGCTTAATCTTAAGAATTTTTTTTTGAAGGTACTGGGAAGAGTGATTTATTCATTCAAACTTTCAAAGTGCAATTCGTTATGTTTTAAAAATATTGCAGATGAGAACAGGGTCAAGACTCTAACTTGGAGGGAGAGGTTCAGCGTTGTGGTTGGGACAGCAGAAGGTATAGCCTTTCTCCATGAAGGGACTGCAACCAGAATAATCCACAGGGACATCAAGACCAGCAATGTCCTTTTGGACGAAAACTTTTGTCCTAAAATTGCTGATTTTGGTCTTGCGCGCTGTTTTGCAGCTGACAAAACTCATCTGAGCACGGGTATTGCCGGGACACTGTAAGTCACAAAACAAAACCAAAGAACATAAAAAAATTAACGGCTTTGCCTCTAAAAGCAGCTCATTTAACATTAATAACGCAGAGGGTATATGGCTCCAGAATACCTCGTCAAAGGACAGCTCACGGAGAAGGCTGATGTCTACAGCTTCGGTGTGCTTCTTCTTGAGATTATTTCTGGTAGGAAGAGCAATGCTTTTGTTGACGATTCCGGCTCCCTACTGCAAACAGTAAGTCCCATATTTCTTTCTCCAATCATCTGTTGCTAGTTAAAAATGTTGTTCCGAAACGAAGCCTATGCATTCAACAGAGTTTATATTTATGCCTACTATTTTTCGAATTTAGGTATGGGGGCTTTACAAAAGCAATAGGACCACTGAGTTAATTGAACCTTGCCTTAGAGGCCATTTTCATGAAAGTGAGGCGTCAAGAGTGGTTCAGGTTGGGCTCCTTTGTTGTCAAGCCGTAGCTTCTTTAAGACCATCCATGCGTGAAGTTGTGAAGATGCTAACAATGGAAGGTTATGAAATCCCCGAAACAACCCAACCCCCGTTCATCAACTCCACCATGTTGGAGGGTGGCTCCATGAGGAGTATAAAGGCTTTGGTTTCCAATGCACTTAAACTGCATGATGTGTCCACCTCTCTCTCCACCACTGACCAATCATGTAGCATGCAGAGTTCTTCCGAGGAGTTTCGGCGCCGTTAGGGTTTAAAACTGCTACAGTGCTACACTCTACAAATTTTTTTCCCCGGAGATTGTTTTACAGATTGGTCATTGAATGGCCTGAAGAGGATAGAAAGAGCAAATAGTTAATGCAGATGAAAGGATGTCTATGTATAAATGCATTTACTGAGAGGAATATAAGTATTACTCCGTATTATTTTGTACAGATTACCACTAAATCAACTAGACAGAGACAAAAGAAATCATACTCTGTATTATAGAAGCTGGCCCTTGTAATCCTATTTCCTAAGAGCATCTCCAAGGGAGAGGCTAAAAATGGGAAGCTAAACTTTGGGTTTACACTATCTACAGTTGTTTAGAGGTTTACTTTTGTTGACAAACTCCAACCACATCTTCTAATTTTGCTATTCTCTCTCCCATCTTTATTTCCCTGCACTTTGTCGCCCTGTAGGCCCCAAAAATCTCTACAGATCTAGCAATAAACAATTCCCTTTTCATTATTTTATTCAAATTTATTTTTTAGCCTTTCTACAGTAACTTCTATAAATGGAGGGTGTAAAAGCATATATAAATGATGCTCTAAATTTTGGAAGCTCCGTTGGAGTACCAAAAACACTACAGTAGAAGCTATAAAATTCATTTTTAACAATATGGTTGATCCATTGGAGATGCCCTAAGATGTTTTGTATTGGTGGAGCTAGGTTCTTCTGACAGCAAGGCTAGGTGTCATAATATGACATCGAGTCATTTGGAGGTCCAATGGTGCTTTTGATACTGTAGCATTTATGACGCCCTGATCCCGGGCCCGATAGAATACTGTAGGGCTTCGGTGTCATATTATGACACCCAAAACCAATGTAAAAAATTGGACTTTTTAATTAATTATTAACATCAATATGATAACAACCCGGAGTAGTTGATATTGATGTTAAAAAGTATTAAGAATGAATCTGAATCACATAAATATGAACAACTATTAAACTCCGTGTGTGACAAAAATAGTGGGACACACAAAAGGTGTAAAAAGAAAAAAGGACAAGAACAATGAGAAAGAAGTAGCAAAATAGAAAATGTTATTTTACAACCAGGGGTTTGACACGATTGATGACAACATTCTCTCTCACAAGCATGCACAGATAATGATTGTTTATGCGGGTGTGTGTGACTGTTTGGAGTGTTTGCATGTCTATGAGACACGGTGGTATCAACAATGATGTCAAACTTGGTGTGACTATAGCATGGCCTGTAGCAAATTACCTCAGAATCGGGTACCGAAGTGGCAAAATTGTAATTCGTACGTGTTCTTGACACGAACTGCATTTCGGAATTTAGTAGTTCCAAAACCCCATTGTCTTGCATTAATTTTCTTGTATTTAAAACATCTATCCACCTTCCCACTGAAGCATAGACATTTGACAGTAGAACATATCCCCCAGATTCTTGGATGCGTCTCGATATCTTGTCTGCCATATTCCCATCTCCATATGTTCTGCAACCACTTAATAGCGCTGCCCATGTGTTGGCCTCAGGTTCAAAGGGCATTCTCGAGATGAACTTTTCGGCTTCTATAAGACAACCTGAGCGAGAAAGCATATCCACCACACACATGTAGTGTCTTTCCTTTGGGATTATGCCATATACCTTTTGCATTGAGTTGAAATGATGCAGCCCTTTGTCCACTAGACCACAATGGGAACAAGCAAATAAGACTGCTAAAAGTATGGAGTCATTAGGTGAGAAGGGTGTCGTCTGTCGCATTTGTTCAAACATTTCAAGAGATTCCTCTGCAAATCCGGTTTCTGCAAGTCCGTGAATCATGGCCGTCCATGAAACCACATTCTTACTAGGCATGGTTTTGAAAATATCCAGAGAACTTTGGATGTTTCCGGATTTTGCGTACATATCCAGAAGTGCAGTGTCCACGAATATATCATTCTGCAGACCAAGTTTTATGAGTTTACAGTGTAAGTTCTTTCCTTTCTGTAATGAAGCTAAGTTAGCACATGCAGATAACATGGTGGAGAAAGTATATTTGTTAGGTGTTTCTCCTGACAAAATCATTTCATTGAATACTTCAAACACCTTGTCATATTCTTCACCTTCCAAGTAACCGGTCATCAGGGAGTTCCATGTGACATTGTTTCGTTGAGGAATTTGATCAAACAGCTCCCTAGCTTCTGTCAATTGGCCATTCAAGCTAAACCCAGAAACCATAGAGTTCCAACAGACAATGTTCTTTTCCCGGAGCGAGTCAAAACATAGAAATCCAAACTCAGTACGTCCACATTTGCAGTATAGGTCCACCAGTGAGCTACCGACAAAAGGGCTGTTTTCAAATCCAAGTTTTAGAACAAGAGAATGGATGGTTCTTCCAGCTTGCATGGCTTTCAGGCCTCCCAAAGCACTCAGAACTGCTGAACAGCATGAAATATTTGGCTTCAGCCCATATTTGTTGAACATCTGATGGAAGAGATTCGCCGCCTCTTCAACATAACCGCTATGGTTGTACCCTGAAACCATTGCGCTCCAAGAAACTTCATTCCTTTCCGGCATTTCATCAAATATTCTTCGAGCTTCCTTCAGGTTCCCCTGCTCGACATACATGTCAAGAATTGCTGTCCAAGAAACAACATCTTTTTTCTTCATCTTATCAAATGTCCTTTTAGCTAAATCGTTCTCACCCAACCGCACAAAAAACGTGATAAAAGCATTAGAAACCGTCAAGTTGTCCTCAAAACCAACCTTAACAACCAGACCAAGCAGGCACATTCCCAAATCAAAATCACCCAACTCTCCGCACGCTCTAATTACAGATGGGAAAGTGACATTGTTAGGCATCACTCCAGACTGCAGCATCATTGGGAGGAGCTGCAAAGCGTCAATCTTCAAACCATTCTGAACAAGCCCACTGATTGTTGCAGTCCAAGAAACGACATTTCGAAACGGGTTCCTGCGAAAGTACCACAACGCCTCTTCAACTCTCCCATGCCGAAAGAGGCCCGAAACCAAAGCAGTCCAAGAAACTTCATTTCTCTCGGGCATTTCCTCGAACACCCGGCGGGCTTCGTCGGGCCTCCCCCAATTCACATTTGCAGAAATCAAACAATTAGCGACTACCAAATTGAACCCATCGAATTCCTTCAGAATCTCGTTACTTTCATAGGATTTTCCAAGAGTCATATACATAACCAGCAGTTTGACAGCAATGTGTCTCTGTGAAGAAATTCCAGTCTTGATCAAATGTCCATGGAGGAGAGCTCCATGGGCAGCTAACCTTCCGTTTGAGAATTGATTGAGAAGGGAAAGCGTCTTGCTGATGTAGGTTTTGAAGTTTCTTGAATCGACGGCGAAGAGAGGTTGCAGAACACTCCTCATTGTGACGCCTAAGCCATCTCTCCGATGACAGGGCAACGGATTGGCTTAAGGCGCTGAAGAGGTTATTTAACTTATTTTGACACGAGCCCATTTAGGTTCTAAATTGTGATAGAGTGAGCAAGTACGAAACCGATTTTAATATTTCTTGGAAAATCGAGATTAGCAAACTGAAAATATCAAACTCATAAAATACCAAAAAAATGGTATCATAGCGAATCGAATGGTCGGTTCAGTATTTGGGATCCGTACGAGGTAACTTCCCATACCGAAAAATCTCAAACCAAACATATATACAAATGTGTTATAAAAATAATAAAGTTTTTATATTTCTTCATTAAAAAATAAATTGATTTTAAAAATCTAATTCAAGTGTAGATGAATTACAAATAATCTTTTATTTAAGTAATCGTTTATTTGAGTTTTATTTTTTTGTAGATGAATATAAAAAATTAACAGACATTTGAAATACTATTTTGTTATCATTCGTTCTGTTTTGTTTGTGAAATACGAAGTATAAATTAGACTAAGTTTTATAAGCATTTCTTGCATTCTAGATCGGGATCGGTACGATTTAAAATCTTATGCCGAACCAAAATATTTGGTACAGTATCGGTACGAATCAAATATCGTACCACGCTCACCCCTAAATTGTAATCTTCCATTTGACTTATATTGAGACAGTAGTTTTTCATATCAATCTCCCTGCTCCTCACTGGCTCACTCATGTTTGCCGACTGGTAAAAATTAGTGACTTTTACCTAAGAATAGATTATAGGAAAAGAAGTAATCAATCGGATTGTTTCATTATCAATATGTTATCTAAGTCTATATTATCCAAGTCCAAGCCAACGTAATGGGAAATTATCAATATGCTATCTAAGTCTAAATTATCCTAGTAGTGTCAAATATACAAAAATTTTTAAGTAAATTCCTTAATTAGTCCTTATGGGACAACATAAGGTTTTCCATATTTAGTCATTTATTATCAAATGTTATGTTTGTGATCCTTCTTTTCTGGATATCTTTCACAACTAGTCTTTTTTTACTCTTCTATTATGCTGTTAATTTGAGACTAAAAGTGTAATTCGACAATTTTGTAATCAGTAATTACCGAATACCGACTTTTTTTATATACTAAACCAAAAGCTTATTTTTTTAAAAAATAAAAATCGTATACAGAACCAAGAAATTTGGGTCAATTTTGATATGTACCAAACTTTCGGTTTCGGTTTGGTTTGGTCGATTTACCGAATTATGCACACCCCCATTTGATAGTGAACTGTAACCCAAGTGGGAGGTGGGCTACGGGGACTATTGTGGGGTGCAAGAGGGAGGACGCTCGAGTGTGAGTTTGTAAAAGGGTTAAACATAATAGGGTGTTCAAATACACCGAGTGTCATATTATGACACTCACTGCTAAGGTCAAAATAACCTAGCTGATCGTGAATCGTCGGCCTCCTTTCTTTTGAGCTTGGTTGGAACTTTCATAATGTTCATTTTGTTGCTATAATAACATTTCATTTTGTTGTTAATAACAATTCTAGTACATGAAATAATATTAATAAAACTTCGAAAACGAAATGTGGAATTTCGGACTTGTTTTCTTGTGGATACTCAGAGCATGCTAATTATAAATATGCACATTTACGAATTACTCCCTCCGTCCTGTTTTAAATCGTCTATTTTGACTTTTAGACATACTACTTCCGTCCCACTCTTTTTGTCCAATTTTGACTTTTGGAACTGTTCATCTAAGCACTTTGACTCATCAAATTCTCTCAATGTGTAAGTCTAAAAATAGTCATGTATGATCTTGTTTGATTTGTCTTAACATGTAGATTATTAATATATAATTTTTATAATTTTTTAATACACAAATTACAAGATAAAATGGACTAAAGAAGTGCATTGGATGGTGTGCAAAAATGAAAGTGGACAACAAGAGTGGGACGGAGGGAGTATTTAAGAAAAAGAAAAAATAGAGATGATTTTCTGAAATTATCATTACTTTTTAGGAGAGGTGACAATGAATGAGAAGATAAGGTGGAGAAGAGTGACTTATTTTAAGGGTAGTTTAGCTATTTTACTCTTAAAAGTTTACGAAAACTGGTAATAGGTAACTTATTTTGGGACGAAGAAAAAAGGCAAACAAACAATTTAAAATGGGACATATGGAGTACATGACACTCATCGAATATACTACCTCCGTCCCATTGTCTTTGTCCAGTTTTGATTTTTGGAACTGTTCATCTAAGCACTTTGACTCATCAAATTCTCTTAATGTGTAAGCCTAAAAATAGTCATGTATGATCTTGTTTGATTCGTCTTAACATATAGATTATTAATATATAATTTTTATAATTTTTTAATATACAAATTACAAGATAAAATGGATTAAAGAAGTGCATTAGATGGTGTGCCAAAAGGTAAGTGGACAAAGACAGTGGGACGGAGGGAGTACAAGAAAATATGGCCACCTCGATGTGTAGTAAGTGCTCCTGTGGTGAAAAGACAATAAAACTAATTTTTAGTTCAGTAAAGTTCTATTGACATTGACCTCAATGTCATGGAATGACATCAAGCACTTAGAGTGTTCCATTAGGCCGTCACCTACAATGCTCCATGGGTCCCAAAAGTGATCCTAACCCCCCCCCCCCCCAAACCCCATTTTTGCCGAAATGCTACAAATCCTACAATATTTCGGGGACAATGGTGGGATGCATGGGAATTAGGGGAGGGGAACCACTTTCGAGTCCAAAAGAGCATTGTTGGCACCCGATGTCATTGCATGACATTGAAATTTAATGTCAACTAAACCACCATATTTTGAGCAATAACAAAATTCAGAGTGGTACATATTGAAGCAAAGTTAATGAAAGACATAGTGCTGAACATGGCTAAAACAGAAACTTTTCATCAAGTTAATGAAAGGCATACTGCTGAAACAGGCTCCCCGGACTGCAATCTTTTCCTAGAGTGGCAAAGTTGGATTAGACATACCAATAACCGCTACAATGAATTTGGAATAATCAGATGGAAAAAATCAAAGCCAAATTTGCCAGGAATATAACAAATTCGCAGGTCTTCCAATAATAAGGACAAGTGACGATAATCGGTACAGTTCTTTTGACACCAAGCAATGGCATTATATTATGATGTCAAGACTATTTGGAGGTCCTACAGGGCTCAGTGCGGGTCCTGACCCAGCTTACACCCTCCTGCAGACATCTGTTCGATGCAATTGCCAACCCCAGGCGACCAACAACCACACCCCCTACCCAGCAGCCCGGCCTAATGGAGCATCGTAAGACTCTAAAATGATTTGGTGTCATATTATGAAACCAAGGCCCAATATCAAAAGAACCGAGTTTGACAATAGTATAACAACAGAGTCTTATTTCAACTAACTTGGGGCCATCTACATGAAAGAAGAGGTGAACACGTTCAGCCATTCGCCAAAAAGCTCTCCCTTTCTTTCAATCCATAGCCTCACTTACAACAACAACAACCCAGTTAAATCCCACAAGAGTAGGGTCTGGGGAGGGTGTGTGTACGCAGACCTTGCCCCTACTTGAAAGTAGAGAGGCTGTTTCCAAAGAGACCCCCGGCTCAACGTCGAAAGTAGAGAGGCTGTTTCCAAAAAGCTCTCCCTTTCTTTCAATCCATAGCCTCACTTAAGTGATGATAATGTTAAGAATAATCTCAAGTTTGCTTCGGTCTTCATTAATTGCGGGGTGAGTGGGGGGAGGGAGAAAGTTGATGTTTTCTCTGTTTTTACTCACAAAAAATGAAAGGAAAGTCACATTTCCATTTTTACGTTACATTTTCCTTGCCTTCTCTTTTCATTCCAATTTTCTTTTCTTTTTCATTTTAACCAAACACCAAAACTACTTTTCCTTGCCATTTTCTTTTCTTTTCCTTTCCAAATTCCTTGAACCAAACAGAGTATAAAGAAATAATGATGAGAATTATTAGCTTACCTCAACTCATAATGTTCCTAAATCTGGACTTGAGCGCAGAAAAACCCTCTTCAGGTGAAGATACATGCAAAACCCACCAGCTTCCAAGAAATCCAAAAACAGTTAACTTCTGATCTTTCAATTCCACGTCAGCCAAACAGAAGATTCCATAATCTTCAACCTCAACTTTATTGGCATGCAGGGACTACAATGCAAATCATGCATACACTTTGTTGAAATAGGAGATCTTTATATATTAACAACTTGTGAGGCACCCAACATATGGCTGTATAAGCAAATTAGGAACTCTGGAAGAATATAAGATACCAAAGATACTAAACCTTGCCAGATAAATCAAAGAAACAAGTATGGCACACTACCTACATTAGTTCATGGCATCTACTTTGTTTTTTTACACTCATGAACCAAATACATATTCTAAAACTCCCCTTAAAGTTGGAGCACGAAGATCAAATGCTCCAAACTTGTTAAAAATATACTCAACCCTAGGTCCTCATAGAGATTTAGTTTGATCATACATGATCATACAGCCTTTTACCCGAAAGGCAGACACAATAATGAAAGTAGCATGGGAGTTAGGGGAACACTACGATGTCCAAGGTCATTCTAATCTGTTACATTTAAATTTGATCATAGCAAACTCAAAAAACAGAACTAGATATGGCAAAAAATGAAGTTATAAATTATTTCAATTAATCAATATATCAATTATAAACTATTTTGATTACACAAAATGTCAATTGTTAAAATATCAATTAAAACACAATTTATATTACACGAAATTGTGCATAGTGTGGAAGTTCATTTACGTGCATCACATGGAATACTGCAATATCTCAAGGGAACACTGGGAGGGGCATATTATTTAAAAGGAATGGTTTAAGAAAATATCGACCCTTCAAGCAGTGATTATGACTGTGTTGGATCAATAACTGATAAATGGTCAACTTTAGGGTAATATACGCTCTTTGGAGGACACCTTGTGACAAAGAGAAGCAAAAAGACAAGGTGTGGTAGCTCGTTTAATTGCAGAAGTTGAATTTTAAACAAAGGGTCCGAGTGTCATTCTTGAATATCAGATCATTAAGTGGGAGGGCCCTATGAGTCTATCATGAAAACAAATCTGCAATCAGCATAGCTCACAAATCCAATGCAACATGATAGAACAAAGCACATTGAAGTTGATAGACGGTTCATTAAAGAAAATATAGACAACAAACTGTTTTAAATACACCCTATGTGCCTACAAATGGTTAGTTTTCTGATTGACTGGCTCATTTTTCTAGACTGTTGTATCCAAGGTGGGAGTGGGTATTCATTCTTATTCACCAGCTTAACGGGGGTGTGAAAAATAATGTGTAATTATGTATTTATTTTTGAAGAAGCATATTGTAGCCTTAGATTTAAAAGTGCCTTATATTTAAGAAACAACAAAACATCCCAGTAGGATCCCACGAGAGTAGGGTCTGGGGAGGGTGTGTGCACGCACACCTTACCCCTACTCGAAGAAACACGTATACTAATCTCTTTTTTCTTTTTCGTGTGCCTTTGATTTATGAAGTGCGTCTCTCGAATAATGGGTGGGACGGTTGGCTACGGTTTTCTTCGGTCTTGCATGGCACTCATCGACGCGACTGTCATGGGCACCAGGCATTCGCTGGTGGGCTGATTGCTGAGTTAAAAACTTGGCCTTTGGTCTGTTGGTGGGTTGTGTGGTGTGTATGAAGTTTGCGATGCGTAATTGTGTGTGAGATGTATTTGGTTTTCATGGTCAGGTTTGATCCTTGCTGTAGCAGCGAAAACTTGCCGTGAAAGCCTTTTCAATTTGGTGGGTTCCGCCTTTGTCTGCAATGGTTTCCTTTGTTCTGTACCCTTTCGGTGGCATCCTTACGTTCCAACTGCTGAGTTCTGTCGTGTGCCTGCTCGTGTGGGAACCAAAGGGTTGGCATTCGATTGACGCCATGGCACCGCTTGTGGTACACTATCTGTTGTCTCTTTTCCGGAAAGTTTTGGCCCATTGGTTGTTGTTGAGTACTCGGGTTTGGTGCACTAACGGGGACTGGTTAAGAATTCTCTGTTAGCCTAAGTCTGCCCATAAAGTATTTTNTCCAGGGTTCCCTGGTTCATTATTGGCTTCACCTTCACTTCTGTGATTGTGTTTCCCTCCGTATGACCGCCCATGATGTGTTGGGTTCGCTTTCGGTTTTGGCGTGTCAAGGTGCATTGAGGAATGATACCTGGTTGATCCTGCCAGTAGTCATATGCTTGTCTCAAAGGTTAAGCCATGCATGTGTAAGTATGAACAAATTCAGACTGTGAAACTGCGAATGGCTCATTAAATCAGTAATAGTTTGTTTGATGGTACCTACTACTCGGATAACCGTAGTAAATCTAGAGCTAATACGTGCAACAAGTCCCAACTCTTGGAAGGGATGCATTTATTAGATAAAAGGTCAATGCGGGTTTTTCCCGTTTTTACGATGATTCATGATAACTTGACAGATCGCAAGGCCATAGTGCTGGCGACGCATCATTCAAATTTTTGCCCTATCAAATTTCTGCCAACACGTATACTAGGCACTCGCGAATAATGGAAGACGCCAAGTACAGTTAGTTTATGCAGACAGAGTAAAGACATAAAAGTATGGTGAGCACTGTACCTACACCAGTGCATGACTGCATGGTATCTACATTCATGGACCTAATACACATTCTAGCACACTTAAATGGATGAGTGCTGAAAGCATTCTTCTAAGTTCTAACACAAGACCAAATAGACATATGCAGAGCTCACCTTGAATCTATAGATGAATGGGTGATTTTGGATGACTTGATTTCGCATCTAAAATATATAGCAAAAAAGAGTCATGTCAAACCCTTCACTGTTAACCACTGTGTCACATGCACTCAGAAATAAATTTAATATTATATGGTAGAGAGAAGCTAAGAACATCAACTAGAGTTACATTGTGCCTGTAATAAGGCTAAAGAAACAGGAAACCTTTGGCTTGTTTGCTAGACACTTCTGAATTATTCTAATCAGCACAAGTAGATTTCCACTTATTTGGCTGACAATGGTGTTACTAAACACACTTTATTTGTAAAAAAAATCAGTAATTACTTAAAAAAAAATAACCATCACGAAAGAAGCCTTTAGATCCACGAGAGCAAAAGAGAAGCATATAGATCCTTACCTCTTCGACGAAGAAATAAATTGAGAGTGGGCTCGGCTTTGTCACGTAAAGAGTAAGAGTGACTTTTGCAACAATTATCAGAGGATGACCCCAGTTCAGGAAAATAGTTACCACTAGGAAAATTGGAACAACCAATTTCTTTAGTAGGACCAAGAAAACCCGGTGGTCTTTCTTAGTTTTGGGATTTTCCAATAAGCCCAACTTATAACCATCATCCAACAAAGCACCAAATTCTTCTACATATTAAAAAAATAACTTTTAGACACCTCTGAGGATGCATGGTATGTAATCTAAACTCTATGGGGCATTTGGTTCACACAATGTAAGGTTATTTAGGTAGTAAAGTTACCTCATCAAAGGTAAAGTACGACTACGTGAATGTAAGATTAACTTGAGTTATTTTATTCAAAAAAATGTGATGTTGAAAAGTCCAAAAAGTTGTACAATGCCTAAGAAACCCAATGTAATCACATTATCCCCAATATTAACTCATTTTCCTACGTAGGAGTAATCTCAGCTTACCTTGTAATTTGAGAACCCGAACAAACCAAGATAATCTCACACTGTGTTTCTCATGCTATCTTACCTGAACCAAACGCCCCCCTAATGGTGGTTATATGATCATATTCATATACAAGTGCACAATTATATTTGAAACATATCGGACACAAAAGTACTTTAATCCCTTACCGTCCATAGCATAGGCATCATGTCGCCATGAGTTAAGTGATCCGAGCAATGCTGACAACCCAACAGCATTGTACAAAGTAAAAGTATCTCCTAAAAATGCAATTAAGGAATACCATTCAACATTCTTATAACTGTTTATGCTTCAACAAAAAAAATATGTGGATAAATATATCAGTCATGTTGAAACACAGAAAGCTAATGTTAAAGTTTACATGCTCCGATCCGATCGGCTACCTAAAAATCCCCATCTAGGCCCTCCCTAAGCCTACCTAACTTGCTACTTGCTAGAGCCATGTCTGCCGTCTAGGGACTGTGCTATACTGGTTTTTAGCCTACAATGATTTGTAGCCTCCCTAAGCCTACACTGGTTTTTAGCTTCAAATGTGGAACAACAGCATTCAACTTGTTATATTTTAACATTAGCAATATAGCATTGAACTCGTCAGCTATATACATCAGCATTGATTCAGTCAATTGATGTGCTAAAACAGATAGAAATTAGTTGCGCGTTTTAAACCCTAACCTCGATTCTTCAATTTCGAGAACTGCCAATGACATGACCGAACACCAAATCGGTTACTGAACATTGAGAGCGAATTGTACACTTGAGGTTTTACCCTTTTCGTCCATGTATCGATTAAGCCTCCAAATTTTCCATCATCTGCAGAAGAAATTGATTTCATCAAAACGGTCGAAACTTGAGAATCCTGTGAGCAAGGCAGCAAGCAATGCGCGAAGGAGAAGGAGACTTACATGGAGCTCGGGACGTCGAGTAAAGAGGCCTGGTTGGAATCGATCGTAGTAGTCTAAAGGCATGCATCGGTGTGGGCTTGCGGCTGCTCTCTATAGCTCGCCACTGATCAGATAGTAGCCATTTTCTACGAATGAAACCTCTGATTTTTGAGCTCGTCCGCCTCGTCGTTCGCGGAAGCAAGCACTATCCACAGTAACTTGCTCATGGGCCGAAAAATGTGCTAATAAACCAATTGATTTTTGGTCATAGATTAACAATAAAGAGTGGATCGCAGATAAATTGAACTTGTATAGATCATATTCTTAACTAGTTTTGCCAGGTCCCTTGTCCTTCAAAATAGTTGTCGAAAATCCAAAGTTGGGAGTTTTAAGTTAAAGTTATCTAAAAATAAAATATAGAGAAAATATCAAATTCTATGTCTTTATTTCTTAAATAAGAGTTTGTATTTTGGTAATGTGGCTCATATTTTAATGTATATACATTTTAATTCTCATTTCGAGTAAAAATGGTCATGGTTTATAATGTAAATACATTTTAACTCAAATTTTTCATTTTCATTTACCGCCGTCTACTAGATCGTTCGAGAGATCGGAAGTGAAAATCGCATTGTTGAACAGAGCCGTTTCTTCTCAGAGCGGTCAACGTCGAGTCCATCTCCCGCCTCTACACGGCGGAGACGGCGCCGAATTGGTTGAGGATGACGATGAGCAGAACGGCGGTGATAAATCCAGAGGTAATTGACGATTTAGCTTCTTCATTGCCGGAAATCTCTAGGATTTGAAATTGAAGATAAGCAGAGAAGAATTGGGTAGCGAAAAATAGTAAAATGGTGGGAGAGAGAAAATTGAAGATAAGGAGTGATTGCTTGCTTTTCATTTTCTATATATACATTTTAACTCTCATTTTGAGAATAAAGACATGAAACTTATAAGTTAGTATATTTTTTATGTTTTACTCTTATTTTAATCTTTTTCCCTTGTCTAAGTGGATCAAGTGTCAAAAAAATCAAACATAATGTCAAAAGAACATAACTAATGTGATTTCTTTGAATAAAAAAATGTTGTAGGTGCCGGTGGGCTAGCGTAGTTGGCAAGGGCAATGAGTGGCAAGAGATAGGACCTGAGTTCGATTCCTCCAATTGCGTTGGGAGGCAACTACGCTAATGCATATGGTCTCTGCGAGTACCAGATTGAGACTATACTTTGTCACCAATCTATAATCAAAGTCCAATTTATTTTCTCTCAATGACCGTCCGGCCATATTTCAAGGGGGCTTCAGAGATGGGGCTCATCCTTTTTTTGGAATAAAAATGCTAAACACTCATCGCAATTAACATCATGAATGACAATCGTATATAAATTTGTACACACATCCGATAATCATCTATGAACTTTGTGTGTTCACGAAGGATTATACTTTGTGTGTGTGCAAATGCACGTACAATTGTCACCCGTAGTATCAACCGTTGTGGTTTCTCACATGACTATTTTTTAATATATTTGAAGAAAAATTGATACAGAGTATTTTTCCAGTCTTTTTATAGTGCCCATGTTGGGTGTGAAAATAACTAAAATATTACTCTCATTAGTCAGTGAGAGTGTAATGTATTTTTATTTTTATTCATTCTAATATTTTTAAATTTTAATAAAGAATATGCCCGATTGGTATGAAGTATAATTTAGGCCAGCTTTAGTTAGACCATAGAGCTTGTTCTAATCTAATTTGGTCTAATTTGATATTACTAAAACAAGTTGAAGAAAACATGTGCTTAGATACAAGTAGTGCGATAAATAAATCAAATATTTTATTTCAGTTTGCGATTTTAATTTGACTATAATGATTCGAGTCCGCATTATTCAAATACAAATATAAATTTAAATACGAGTTTTTATTCAAATTTTAAATAAATACATTACAAATACAAACCGAGTCATATGGTCAAAAAAAATATTTGATTTGGATTATACTCAAACATTCAAATATAAACAAACACAAACTATTTGTTCAAAATTAATAGTAAAAAAATATAATATAGACTGCATTACAATTTTTAAAATATGGTCATATAAATGTAACATAACAAATACTCCGTATAAAGTACCCTGTGTGTAATTTTCAATAGTTATATTTACTCTGTATAAAAGATATAATTTATAAAAGATGCATATATATTAATGTTTTTTGATATAATATCAGAAATAGTGTAATTTAAATCATTCAAAGATGATGTTGATCCGTCATTTAAATTACATATGTACAAACATTCATTTTAAGATTCAAATACTTATTTCGTCTTACGAATAAGAATCTTTATTCCCCTTTTGGGATATCTTAAAAAGGTTTAAAAAAACTTTACGTGACTCATAATTTTCCTGTCTCGTTTGCATCATTTTCAACTATATATTTCACTATCTTTAAAACAAGTCAAATCAAAGTTTTTTGGGAGGGAGTATTAATTATTATTCCATCCCATTTTAGAAAATATTTCTTATTTTATTTTTTTGTTTTCTTCAAAACAATTTTACCTTTACAAAAAATGATTAATAAATCTAAATAAAGTCGTTACAATATACTATGTTCATTTTATTTTGATATGATAAGTTATTTAAGTGATTTGTATTTTTTTCGATAGTAAGAATATAATAGAAAAATTAATTCATAAAAATAAATCTCTCAAAAATCAAAACATGATGAGGCATTTTTCGAAGGGAGTAGACCCGACAATTTTTGACCCGACCCGTTATTAATCCGAAACTTGACCCGAATCAGCGGGTTTTGAACATCGATTTTGCGACCCAAACCTGAAATGATCTGAACCTAAAGACTTATTAAATTTTCGGGTCGGGCCAGGTTTGACCTGACGGATTATGCAATATGAAATATGAAATATGATATACCCATCAAGCTACTCAAACTTCAAAAGGCGTAAAACTCAATTTGAATCCAGCGACATTCCAGTCTCTCTCTATGTCGCTCTCTTTCGTTTTTCCACTCTTCCACCGTCCGTCGACATCAGGTGCCGACTCAATCAAAATGGTGAAAAGACACAAGAACAGTAGTAGAATTTAGAATCATATTTCATCATCTTCAGTTGAGTCTGCAAGGCAACTTAAGTTTTAATTATTTTCTTCTAATTTTATTGAAATATTATTAATTTTTGGTATTGTGTAATTTTTTTTGTTATACTGTATTTTTTTGTATGCTGCAATTATGTAATGACAGTACATGTTTTGGTATATTCTATAAAAAATGTAATGACAGTTCCATGTGAAAAATATAAACAACAATATGGCTTTTTATCTATTGCAAATTTTTGTTTTAGTATGTCGCAAGAATCTCAATTTTTGTATAATGCATATATATATTTTAGTATGTTGAAAGATTTCAATTTTTTTCATCTACTGCAATTTTTTTGGTATGCTACAAAAAATCTAATATTTGGGGTATATTACAATTTTCTTTTGGTATGTTGCAAGTACACCTGCAGTCATAGGGGTGTAAACGAACCGAATCGAAGCGAATACTGATATATTTGAATTTGTATTTGTTTAATTTTTTCGAATACGAATCTGAATATGAGACGAATTTAAAATAAAATTTGAATAAGTATTTGATTAATATTCGAATAGTTATCGAATCATAAACGAATATTTGAATAATCATACTATGTAATTTATATGATGGACCAACATCAATTTGTAATTTAACTTACGATACTCTTTATACTATACTATATTCCGTATATAAAAACCTTAATACATCTGCAACTTACACAAATTATATTTTATAAAATATAACTATTAAAAATCACATGCTTTAGATTTTCGTGTTACGTTAATTTATTGAATTCTTAGTATTTTAAATACACTTTATACTATATTACTTTGCTTGACTTTTGATGTTGAAAACATGGTCTGTGTATATATACATATATTCGAATATCATCCGAATCAAATATATCCCTATTTGTATTTGTATTTGATTAATATTCGAATCAAAAATAACATTTGAATTTGAATTTGTATTTGAATAACGCGAATTCGAATCATCATATTCGAATACAAATCTCGAATCGAATTTAAAATATTTAATTTATTTACATCCCTTTGTGCAAATTTATATGATTTCATTTTTTGTTTTGAGTAATGCTTAAATCCCTTTATCTCTAAACAACAAAAATTTTAATTTTTAAATACATTTCTTACTAGATCAACCTCAAGTCCTCAACCTAAGAACTGTGAGTCATGAACAAATCTGAACTGAACAAATCTGAACTTAAATTGAAATAACCGGAACTCCAATAATCATTCCCTTCGTTTGCGATCCCAGTCACAAGTCACTCCTAAACTGGGCTAAACTCGTCCAGAGCCCGGCCCTGTTAGCGCAGGCGTCGATGTATTGAGGAGGCGGAGAAGAAAGCCACAGTTGTCAGTTATCACACCAAATTCGCCAGAGATTTCCACAGCTTCGCGACAGGGGTAAGCATTTTCATCTCAGATTAACAAATTATCTGGATGCTCTTATGTTTTCAATCGAAAGATAAAATCAAGCTCGTTCGTGTTTAGCTATTATTGGTGCAAAATCTATGGATTGCGCTCTATTACTGTAATTTCTTGCTTATGACTTATTTTTAGCCAATTTCAAGACTTCGTTGTTATGGTGTTTCAATTTTTGCACTTCTCCGGCTATGTTATACGGAGTGTTGAGCAGGTTCGTTAGCGCGGGAGAATCCATGTGTGGTCATACAAGGATGGATAAGATCCGGAACTAAGTTACTCAGGGAAGGGGGGGAGTGATTCTGGATAACCTGCGAGAAGCGAGGCAGTGGTCGCTTGGGCACGCAAGGAGGAGAAATATGAAAGGCTTGTGCTAGTGGGACTGTGGGAGTGAGAAGGGATAGAGGTAAACCTATGAGGAGTTAGAAGGAGGTGGTTACACAGGACTTACAACATCACTATCTTACCGTGGATATGGCCATAGATTAGATAGGAATGATTTGGGATTATAGTAGTTGGGTATACCTTTGACATTCGTTTGTAGTTTATCTTGGTGTGTTTTTACTGTAGTTTGTAGTTTGTGCATGTGCGCCTTTTGTGCTTTGGGTCTATTTGGTAGCGTCGATATGTGTGCGTTTGAACCGGGGGTCTCTTTAAAATAACCTCTATACTTCCAAGTAGGGTAAGGGTTGCATACACATATCTTTCCCAGACCTTGCTTTTTTTTATGGGATTTTAGTAGGATTTGTTGTTGTTCTTGCTGAGCAAGTAGAGTCATGTTTTTTTCTTATTAGAATTTTTTTCAGAACCATCCCTTAAAAAAAGAAAACTGCTTGTTTGTTGCCAGTTGCCACCAGATAGTTTCTCTAAAATATTCACGGTGAGCTTTAGACTTGATTTAAGTTGAGCATGGCTTCATCCATAGATGCAAACAACTATATCCTCTCCATTCAGTTTGTCCTGTAATATATATCATTAATGTGTCTGTAGAAAAGAACATGCTCTCATATTTCAGTTAATTGGTGTTGTGGTATGGAAGTATGAGTGGGTGTTTGAGTCAAGTCAATCCATTTTATTTTTACTTTAGTGTACAAAACAGAGCATTTAAGATAAGTTTGGATTGATTTTTGGGGGTGGGAGTGGGTTGGAGGGCAAGGCTTTGGATGGCGTAGCCTATACAACAACAACAATCCAGTCTCACCCATATATAAACAAAAAGGCTGTTTCCGTTAAACACAAGATGCATTGTTGCATTTACTACCCAAAACTTCATGGAAAGGAGGAAGCAAAGGAAGCTTAATGTGTCATTTTGATTTCATCCATTATGTGCCCGAAGCTAAAACCTTCTTGATAGTCACTCTTTTAGCTCCATATGCAATGGATGGTGGATGGCTTAGCCTATGTATGGAAAAAATAGAATGCTCCTAACAACGAATAAAAGGTGGTTGAAATGTTCTATGCTTGCCTATTATAACATTTCTTCCAACTTTAAATTTTTTTTTCAAGTATGTGTATGTGTGTGCACGCGCGTGTGCATCATGAGGTGATTTAGCCCTCCAAAACCCTCCACCTAATGACCTAAGGTAATTCTTATAGATTTAGCCATTTTAGTTTTTCAATAAATAAGACATTTAAGAAGACTTCTTGTATTATCCATGATGATTTTTTTTGAATCTCTTCTTTTTTTAGACCGTTTCAAATATCTGACTAAATTATTATTGTTGATGACAGGGAGGCACACAAAGTTGAAAATTTTTTTGGAGTGGGAAAGAGGAGGCACAGATTACTCTGTTTGAAGGCAAGTTGTCCATTCACCTTGAACAATTTCAATATACTAAAAGGGCCCAAATTAATCTTTATGATTTCAATACCATTATCATCATCTTTGTGCCCCGTTTCATCCCATTGTCATAGACCTATACTGAATATCTTCACACAACCTTCAAAATCTCACTTTTGCTCATACTATCTTAAATGTCACAAATGCCCCTCACTCTCTACAACTCCTTCAAGTAAAGGAAAATGTTTTGTAGTTAGCGTCGAGGATGTTGTGGAGAAAGACTGGTCATTTCTCGACAACGACAATGGTGAAGAAAATTATAATCAAAACATTGACAGAATTATAAGCGCCGGAGGGATATCAGACAATTCAAAGGTTCTAATTTCAATCAGCTCCGAAGAATTTGTGGATAGAGTGGTTGATTCATCACCTAGCAAACAAGTTCTTGTGGTTCATGATTCTCTCTTTGCATTGGCATGCATCAAAGAGAAATATGACGATGTTCAATGTTGGCAAGGGGAACTTGTCCATGTGCCCGAAAAGTGGGCTCCTTTTGATGCAGTGTTTATCTACTTCCTTCCAGCCATACCCTTTGCGCTTAGTCAAGTTTTGGACACACTTGGGAAGCGATCTGTGGCAGGTATAGTTATACTATCATGTGTCGTTGATCTTTATCCATAAATCTTAATGCTTTCACATTGATACAAAAAAGTTAGTTTGGTGCTTATTAAAACAAAAATTATGGCATATTTGGATCCCGGGAAAATGGTGGGAATGAAAAGAAATATTGGGGGCTCTTTTGACACCCAACCCGGGTGTCATCATATGATACCAAGTCAATTGAGGGTCCTATAGTGCTCCATTCAACTCCTAAGTGGTTCCTATCCCCTAATTCCCCATAAAAGCCCTCTAGCCTGTCACTTGCCCCCACGCCATTTGGCTAGGGTGGGACTAGGGCGCGGGGTAGGGTAGTAGGGTGTATGAACTAATTTGGAATCAAACAAAGCACTGTAGGGTTGTCAAGGTCGTCAATTGGACCGGTGTCACAATATGACACCGACCACACCAGTCCCTGGGGTGTCAAAAGAACCGGCCTTAAAAAGCACAGGGTTCTTTTGATACCCAACTCCAATGTCATAATATGACACTCGGGTTATTTGAGGACCTCACGGTGCTACGTTCATGGGCGGATGCACTTGGTGACTAATGGGGGCACTTGCCCCGAATGACCTATACTTAAATACCCTAATTTTTCTTTAAAATATCATTTATGCCCCCACTTAAAAAAATTAAATGCCCCCATTGATTCTTCCAAATCCTCACTTACGTAAAAAAGAAGGATCAAAACATTTTAAATCTTTAATTGAAAATTAGTTTTAGTAGTCTATTTATGTATAATTTCTAAATTTAAAATTATTTATTTGGTTTGTTATAAATTATGTGTAGTAATTCATAGTATTAAGATGAAATTTAACAGTATTTGTGGTGTTTTACTTTATCTTTCACAAAAAAAAATTCGGTCTCCCCTTTTTTGGATCCGCCACTAGCCACGTTCGGCCTTGAATTAGTTCTTACCCCCGAACTCTCCCCTCCCAAACCACGTCCCTACCTCTCCCCCACCGTGGGGGTGACAATTCAATGTTAAATACAGGTAGCATTTGACAATGCATTATCACCAACATGGGGGAGTGGACCAGTGTGGATTTAAGGAGAAGGAACCACTCGGGGGTCGAATGGAGCATCGTAAAACCTTCAAATGAACCATGTCATATTATGACATTGGTCCTTCGTGTAAAAAAGAACCAAGCTCAAATCACAAAAAAACGATCGAAAAAACCTCATTAAGAACGTGTGCATTCTAATTCCTGGCAAAGTACACTTTGTAGGTGCAAGAATTGTGATAAGTCACCCCCAAGGCAGGCAAATGCTTGAAGAACAATGTAAGCAATTCCCCGACGTGATAGTCTCGAACTTGCCAGATATGGAAACACTTCAAGACGTTGCAGTTAAGAACTCGTTTCAGGTTCTTAACTTTGTCGACGAACCGGGGTTTTACCTTGCTGTCCTGAAATTCAACGGAGGGGCTTAATTAGCAAGATAAACTGCCATAGAAGATTTGAGCAGCAAACAACAACAATTTCAATATGTATTCCAACAAGTCAAAGTCTGGGGAGGGTTTTCCTTTATTGTTACAGTCTTTCCATAATTTTGTTTAATTACATATTTTCATTGATCATATGATAAAATAAAATATTCTTCTTATCTCTTTTTTGTAAAACTTTTGATGTAGTTTTTAAAAAAAATATAAATTTTATTTTTTTATTTCTATATAAATTTGTGAATAGAAGAAATCATCCTAAATAGAAGTAAAACATAAATAAACTAACAAAATAGGAGTTCCATGTTTTTTCCTTAAATAGGAGTTTGAACTGTTGTAATGCGGCATTGTACATGTGCTGATGTGCATATGACCATGGGTGGCCCGGAAGGTGTGCAAAGTGGCCAACTGCACAGGGTCCCTAAAATTTTAGGCCTCCATATTTTTAAATTTGTTAATAATTTTAAAGCAAAAGTATTCTAAAAAAATAAAATAGGGCCCAAAATGTAGATTTTGGACCGGACCAAATTTATTTTTTCATTTTTCAGGGCTGGCCCTGCATATGACTATATTTTAAGTTCTATTTCGGAAATAAAAACATGAAATTTTTATTTTGATATATCTTCAATATTTATTTCTATTTTAGTCTTTTTCCCTTGTAAATAATGTTATTTAAAAAATTACTAAATACGAGATTTTTCAGGTCCTTTGAATAAAGAATACTCCGGGGTATCATTTTGGACTAAGAAAGTATACAAAATAAAGGTTTAATTACTCGAAAATGCTTATTGTGCACAACTGTGAGGGCTCCCAATTCATACGCGCCTCAATTCCCATGTTATCATGTCCGGCCGGGTTGTGGAAGACCGGAGCAGCCGGTTCCCTTATTTTTTTGTCTCATTTATTCTTCCCACGGCATCTCAAGCAAAGTATTCATCACTCTCCTCCTATCCACAGTAAGAAACTCCGGAGACTTTAGGTGCCGAATCGGAATCATCCAGTGGATCGGCCGTCTCTGTCACCAATTCGCATACAAATTGATGGCTGAACGCCTAGACAACGGATTGATGAAGATCTAAGTTCTGGAAATTGAGTTTTCTGGGAGCGAATGAGTTGCAGAAATGAAGCATAATTCGCTGCGGAGGTCTAGCTCTCAGAAACTGCACCGGAGATGGAGGAGGAAATTGTCCGTACTGGCGCTGATTTTGGTCGGACTTTCCGTAGGAACCTTCGCGCTCATGGAGACGCACTACGGACGAATCAAAGTGCCCGCGTTTCTGTCTCACCAGGCTGTTCAGAGGCCCAAGATTGCGTTTCTGTTCATAGCTCGGAATCGGCTTCCTCTTGATATTGTCTGGGACGCCTTCTTCCAGGTAGGTTGTTTGAGTTTTTTTTCGTGGATTACTTTCTGATGTGAAATTTTTCTGGTTATTGCCACATTTTGAGTTTTGATTGAGTAATTGTCGAATTATATGAATTTATTGATGTTATCTGGTCAATTTCTTTTATCTAATTCACCTAGAGATCATTGTAATTTTGCATTGATTGTATTACCTCACAATTACATTACATTACTAAAAGGTGTTTTTGTTTTAGTAAATCTACCTAAATAGGATTAGAACATTGAACTAATACCACAATAGGATCTCGTATATTTTTATCCAAACGTTGGCATTGTGTGTTGGCATTTCACAGTATTTTTTGGCATTATATATCAACTCATTTTGGCATTATATGTTTTAGTCCTATTTTGGCCTCTCTTTTGTTTTTTTAAATGTTTGGGTGAATGCATGTTAGTTACTCATTAAGTCATTTGACTATCAACCACACCAGTCATTCTTAGAGAATGGGCCCTTATTTTGGACTGTCTAAAAAGTAAATGGGGAATGTTTTTTTGAGTTATATGAAGCATATTTTGCTGGGTATTTTCCCCCATATATTGTGAATTGTGGATGTGCTTATATTCTTTTTTGGCGTATCCGCGTATGTCTTGAATAGGGATTTGCTAACATCTAAGTATTTAACAACTTATAAATGCTTATGTTGGATGCTTCTGTGATGGTTACATGACTTACATCATCTTCACTTTTCATTTTATAGGGAGATGGGGAGAACAAATTTTCCATACACGTTCATTCAAGACCTGGCTTTCTATTCAACCAAGTGACAACAAGATCGGTGTATTTCTTGAACCGCCAAGTTAATAATAGCATACAGGTTTTGTTTCTAAAGAACCCATTGATTGAGATATCTTCTGGTCTCCCTACATATTTTTACCTTCATTTGTTTCAATCTTTAACTTTACCTCAATTTCTACTCAAATCCTTCTACGGAAGGCTTTTTATCTCCATTCCAAGTCTCAAATCTTATTGTTAGCCCTGTGATATTTAGCAAGTGCCTTTTTCTTCAGGTAGATTGGGGAGAAGCAAGCATGATTCAAGCAGAGCGTATTTTGCTACAAAGTGCATTGGTAGATCTCTCAAATGAAAGATTCGTATTTCTTTCAGATAGGTGAGATGAGATTTTCTGATTTTCCTAATATTATTGCACATCTTTGCAGGCTAACCATTCCTAGTACCATTACCACCGGTTTTTCATACTCCCCTACCCCCAAAAAGGGTCATTTTTCTAGAACTTTTTCTGGTCTAAAAAAGATTCTGATTTTAGAAGTCTAAATTTATGTAAATTTCCTTAAGTCAAGTGGCAAGCGGGTTTATTTCATTACGCCAAACAATACTGTAAATAAGTTTTAGGAGTAAAACAGCAAAGCCAGGAAAATTCCGTAAAAAGTACGGTATGGGGAGGGTGAGTGTACGCAGAGCTAAAGCTTAACCTACGCGAAAGTAGAGAGACTGTTTTCAAGAGACCCCCGACTCAAACATAGTCAAAGTAAACCAACAAGGAATACACAAAAGCCTGGCCAAAATGAGAACAAAAGAGAAGCTAAGAGTAAAAAGCAAAATAAAGGAAGAGAGAGAAAGTACACAATGACAAGAAGCGCACAAAGAGCACATAGAGACACGCGCAACAACACCCTACTACTAGGGCATAGAAGTCTACCCAACTACTCTAGTCTAGAATTCTAGATCTTTAGACATCCTTATCTAAGGTCATATCCTTGGTAAGGTCCTAAGCCTTCAAGTCCATTATAATCACCTCCTTCCAACTCTTCCTAAGTCCACCCCTACCCCTACTCTTACCCGTTATCATAAGCCTCAAGAGTTTCTGCACTGCACTCTGCCGCTTCCCATGCCCAAACCACTTCAGCCCCCATGCTTCTTCTTGCTTATCCTCCACAGGTGTTACTCTTGCCCGTTCTTGAATAAACTCATTCCAAATTCTATCCAACCTCGTCTTTCCACATGTCCACCACAACATCCTCATTTCTGCTACATGAAGTTGACGAACGCGGGGTTTCTTCACCGCCCAGCACTCTGCTCTGTATAGCATAGCCGACCTGACTAGTGACAGACCTTTCATGCTAGTTGATATCTTCTTATTGCACAAGACACCTGGAGAGCTTCCACTTTGCCCAAGAAGCTCTAATATGATGAACAATGTCCCCATATATTCCCCCCCTGAATGACCGATTCCACTTTGCCAGTTTGCCCAAGAAGCTCTAATATGATGGACAATATCCCCATCTATCTCCCCCTGGATGACCGAATGAATAATAGAACCAAGATACTGAATTTGTCTCTCTTAGGCACGGGGTGTGCATCAATCCTTACTTCCATTATTCATAACTTTTCATTGTATTTTGATTGATTTAACTAAAAGTCATAAGCTGTATCTTACTTAAAAATGTCTCTTTTTGAGATGGAAGGGTACTATGGAGTCCTAAATATCTGGTGGCACACATTTAAGGCTCCGTTCCTTTCGTCTGATCTCATATGATTTTTTGAAGTTCTGATCTAATCTGATTGGATCTGGTATGATCTGGTCTGATCTGATATGAATTTGATTAAATATTAATAATAATAGTAATAATACTAATAGTAATAATTATAATAGTAATAAGAATAGTAATAATAATAAGTATAATAATAATACTAATACTAATAGTAGTAATAATAGGAATATAATAGAAATAATAATAATAGAAATATTGATAATAAAAGAAATAATAATAATAATAGTGATAAAAATAATAACTATAATAATAGTACTAATAAAAATAGCAATAACAATAATAATAGAAATAATAATAATAATAATAGAAAAATTAATAATAATTATAATACTAATAGTAAAAATAATATTAGTAGTATTAGTAATAATAATAGTAATAATTATAATAACAATAGTAATAATTATTATAGTCATAGTAATAATAGTAATAGTTATTGTTATAGTAATAGTAATAATAAATATAATAATAATAGTAATAGTAATAATAATAATAACAATAATAATATTATTAATATTAATAGTAATAATAAAATAACAATATTAATAATAATTATAATCATAATATTAATAGTAATAGCAATAATAATGCTAATAATAGTGGTAATAATAATAATAGTAATAATAAAAATAATAATTTTAATTTTGATATGACCTGATCTGATTTGATTTGATTTTAATAAGAATAAGTAATAAACATAAAAAATAAGTTGAACGGAATGTTGCCTAAGTTTAAGTGATCACAAGACGTATACTTTTATATTGGTATTGATGTTATCTATATTTGATTAAGTTTCTTGATCTCATTCCAGCTGCATACCATTGTACAACTTTAGCTACACATACAACTATATAATGTCTACCTCCAAGAGTTTTGTGGACAGGTAAGGAGACGATGCATGTTCCATAACTTGAATTGGTTGCTGATTTATGTGGATATATTTCTTTTTTGTATTTCTTAAATTATATAATAAAAAGCACAAGTTCATATCATCGCACACCCTGTGTAAAGTTGTGTGAGCAATAATATTTGAATGCTTCTTTTAAGAAAAAATTGCACTAAATAGGACTAAAACATAAGTCATTTCCCAATGTAGGACTTAAACTTTTTTATTCCCTAAATATGACTTAATAATGTCTAGTGGGAGGAATAATCTTCAGTGAAGATGGACATTTACTTGAATAATGACTAATGGATAACCAATGATCCTACATTGGGAAATAAAAACATATGGTCCTTTATTGAGAAAGTCATTATGTTTTAGTCTTATTTAGGTAAATTCCCCTTCTTTTAATTGTCTTTAGTTCATTGCTGATTACTGATTACAGTTTTGCTGATACAAAGAAAGGCCGTTACAACCCAAAAATGCATCCTGTAATTCCTGTTCAGAACTGGAGGAAAGGATCTCAGGTATTGATTTAAGTCTGTTATTTTTGAAATTAGACGTATGCATGATTTAAGGATTGTTTGTTATCGTTCTCTGCATTTTGTTTTTAACTAAAAACAAGATTATGAAAACAAGAAAAGTGTAATTCAGATATTTGGTGGGAAACATACAATTTTCACGTTCCCCATGATTAGTATAAACAGAATTAACCCTTTTCTTACAAGTTTGTAATTTTCTTGCAGTGGGTTGTTCTGAACAGAAAGCATGCCAAAATTGTAGTAAAAGATGAAGCTGTTCTTCGTATGTTTCAGTTGCATTGCAAGGCAAGTCGCTGCTGATTAAGAAATTTTTGATGTTGTGTAAAGCATCAGGTCTTTAAGAACCTTGTATAATATTCAGTTTAACGTTTATTTGGGTGGTAACTGATAAATTCCGTTTATTTTTTCCATTTCAAAATGCCTTATTTGACATTTTTGAACTACAAGAAACACTATGCTTGTGAAACTGTAAAGTGTAAACACATTTTACTCTTAATTCAGGATTCATAAATATATCCTTTCTAGTCGCATAAGAAATCTGTGCCTGCAGTCTTCTTTATTTACACATGCCCAAATTTGTTTTCTTACGTACACATAGTTTGTCATCACTTATTTTTATTAACCATGACATTTACCTGCAACAATTGTGCAGAAAAAGCCACTGCCTGAGTTTTGGAGGGAGCATCCAGTGGTGAGTTCTCTCACCATTCCTGAAGGCTATATTTGGAACCTGGGAAATGGTAGGGAAAAGGAAAAAAGTGCCAAGGAAATTATGTGTGTGTGTGGGGGGGGGGGGGGGGGGGGGGGGGGGGGGGGGGGGGGGAGGGGGGCGTGTTTAACCTTAGGAAAAATGAAGTAAAATCTAATTTGATTGAAACTTGTAGAATTTTGCTTGTATTTTGATTTCTTACTCTTTATATAGTAGAAATTTTAAAATAAAATGAATTTGAATTTTGAAAAAAAAGTCTAAAATTTTATTGAGTTTGATTCAAGTTTAGAATTTCTTATACATTTTATTTTCTTCCAAATTTCCCATCTGTTTTCATTCCAAGTTTCTTAGCATTTTGCAGGTTCCAAACTTGATCAAGTATTTCATTCTTTTTTCTGATAAAAATGTTTTTCATGTCGCAGCCTGCGGATACATCAAAAATTCATAACTGTATACCTGATGAACATTATATTCCAACGTTGCTTGCAGTAAGTTGCTTTGAATGTAAACATTTCAGTCCAGAAAATATAAATCCTTCCAGATGTGCTACATACTTGTGGGATTTATCTCATCACAAGCAACGCTTTGCATTCAACTTAATGCAGCAAAAAGGACAAGGGGGAGAAATAATCAGAAGAACCCTGACTCACACATCATGGGATCTTCCATCTTCCAAGCGGCGTGAACGGCAAGGGTGGCATCCTGTTACATACAAGTTAGCTGATGCTACCTCTATGCTCATTCAATCTATTAAGGTATTTTTCGAATAACAATCCCTTACCATTTCATTTCATGTTTTAGATAATTGAGTCAATGGACGAAATCCAAATGGCACATTAAACCTCCCATGTTTCTTACTTTTGATGAAGTTGTGCAGTGTATGAAGAGCAATGCATCAAAGTGTCTAATGGAAAACAAAATCTCTGTTAAATTTCACATTGCAAATATTAGAATTCTCATCATTAATGCATCACACCTCCACCCAACCCACTGGTTCAATAATAAGTACAGTATCTCATTTCACTTTTTCGTTAGAGTTAAGAAAAACACAAAAACCAACTTAATTCGAGCCAGGATGAGAAACAACAAAGTTTGAATAGTCGATTTGTCCTTAGGTTAGGTTACAATTTACTTCCTTCTTAAATAAATGCAACATCAAAACTTTCACATATGTCAATGCGTAAAGCAAATGTTTGGTATCTTGAATTGTCTTTTGGTAAAGATTATTAAAAGTTGATATCAAGACAAATCTAAAAAGACCCCACGTGACTACATTTTGCTTGATGTATAAATCACATGAGATAATCAAATGGGAATGGATGGATAGTGTCATACTCTCTGTTGCATTTATTTAAGAACAGAGGAAGTGTTTCTTAACTGGTAATCAATTTAGTTGAAGACAGAGGGGGAATGGAATCAATTTATGCTTTATGAATTTTTTAAGATGTCGCTTCTGTAGGGAAAAAATGAAGTATACTCCGTTTTTTTAAAGCTCAAGGAATACTATTGTGATTTGTGGACCAACTACTAACGTTTGCAAAATTGTATAGTGCCATAGAAATTTAGCAAATTATTGAATTTAGTTGATTAAATTACATCTGAAATAGTGAGTTTTGACTGCTTGAATGGAACAGGAAATAGATAATATTTATTACGAAACAGAGTACCGGAGAGAGTGGTGCACTAGCAAGGGAAAACCTGCTCCATGCTTCCCTTTTGCAAGAAAATTTACACGACCTGCCGCTCTTAGGCTGCTCAATGATACGGTAAAGCTTGTCATCTTCCACTTTCTTTATTATACTCCCTGAGTTCCAAAACAAGGTTCATAGTTTGACATGTCACACTTATTAAGAAAGTGAAATTTTGTGGTCACATAGAGGAGAAAAATAATACTAGTATGAACCACACAATCCTTAAATAGAAACATTAACCTTATTTTGTGAAAGACTAAACCGGAAAACAAGAAGTCAAGATACACTAAAAAGGAAAGCTCAACCTTCTATTGGAGTGAGTATTTTACCCATAGTTTGTAAGGCGTCGCCTAGGCGATAAGGCGTTGTCACTGGGACGCCTTGTCTGCTTGCCTCACCTAGAAGACCTTAAGGCGACCAGGCGCTCGCCACGTCGCCTTACCTCGCCTTGATGCCTTGGGCCCCTTTAAAATTTTGAAAAAACCCATATTTTAGTGCAGCCCTTTTTCTTTTAGTGTAGCCTAATAGACTTAAACTTATCTTCTCTCTCTCGGTCTTTAGTGTCAAGCTTCCTTAAAATGTATAAGACCTATATATACATATACATATATATACATATATGTATATATATGTGTGTGTATGTGTGTGTGTGTATATATATATATATTTGTATGTCTGTGTGTGTATACGTGTATATATATATATATATATATATATATATATATGGGAGCATATAAAATGACACCAGTTACTTATACACCAGTTGCTTACACCAGTTCGTTTGGGGTACCTACGGTGCTCCGTTTGTAAAAACGACGGTTCTTACGCCACCTAACCCTCCCCCTAAATCCCCCACCCCAGCCCCCTCCCTACCCTGGCAGTACACTGCCAGGGTAGGGAGGGGGGGCTGGGGTGGGGGGGAAGGGTGGGGCTGGGGCGGGGGTTTAGGGCGAGGGTTAGGGGGGTAGGAACCGTCCTTTTTACAAACGGAGGAGGCACCCCAAACGAACTGGTGTAAGCAAATGACACCAGTAGCGCTGGTGTCATTTTAGACTTTCCGTGCGTGCGTGTGTGTGTGTGTATATATAGGTATGTATGTCACCTAGGCGATATGAAGGTACATTGGTGCCTCGCCTTGCCGCCTTACAAACTATGATTTTACCATGTCTTTTTTTCTTTTAAAAGAGACTTTCTAACTCCACTTATTGTTGCATATGTGTTTGTATGTACTGTGTACAGTTTGCGCTTGGAGTTTCCAGACAAAAGAACAAAGTGACTTCCATTTAGTTGAAAAATTATTAGGATCACCAGCATATACCCATATGTACAAGTATGGAATTCTTACCCTGTGTATATTGTTGTATTATTGTGTGAAAGATGTTGTAATAGTATAACTATGACATTACTCTTACTCCCTCTCTCTCTCTCTCTCTCTCTCTCTCTCTCTATATATATATATATATATATATATATATATATATATATATATATATATATATATATATATCAAACCTTTGTTTCAATTGAACCAAACCACAACATTGGGATCTCATGTCTTGTATGGACCTATTGCTATCAGTTAACACTTTTACAGTTGAGTGGGTAGGCTCTTCAGGAAGCTGAACAAGGTTAAGGGAAAACTGCAAGTTACCAAACCATATGATATGGCCATTGCGAGGCTGTGGGAAAACCAGGTGGCAGTCTATGTTGCAATGACACGACATCGTACAGGTATGTCTACACACGAATATGTGTAATTTACAACCCACGAATTATGTGCTCCTCCCACGTATCTATAGTGATAGTTACTCTTTTACCAAGAAACTACCAAGACTAACTTTGAGTACTTCTTTCTCTTTCACGTACTCCGTAGTTCTAAAAACATTCTCTTGCAATAGTGATATGATGGAATACTGTTTGGGTGCCACTACATGGGTGCACCTGTGCGATAACGCACAGACAAACGCAAACCGTCTGTGTCGCACAGACGATTAACGTTTGTACTTGTCGATAGATTCTAAGTAAATAGTTGATGGTTGATATTTACGGAGTAATCCATAGAACTCCCTATGTCTCATATTTTTCTTCACGTTGCTTAAAATGAAGAAAAATTCAAGCTTTTTCAATCTATTTTATTTAAATATTTGTATAAAACTTAAAGATTTAAAGATTTAACAAAATAAGTGCTGACAATTTTTTATTTTTTCACATAGGCCATGACAAATCACAAATAAATAAAAGTTCATATGAAGTCATAATAGGGCATTGCAAAGAAAGATAGGGGAAGGGGGAGTATTACATATACATGTGTAATCATAGTCTGTTTAATTTGCAGAACTTTTGTCAATTTAAGTTGGGGAGTAAATGAACCAGCCTTCATTTATTGTCACTTTTTTAATATTGATTAATTTTCAAACATTTTTTTACATAGCTCCTAGCCATTTCATTCTTCATACACTAAACATAGCTTCTTCGCCAGAAAATGGATCTCATTCTTAATACACAAATTACTCAAATATTTACTTCATAATCATAGTATATTTTACATAATCCTTGTATTGGGTCAAAATATTTCCGTTGAGTTGGATGTCCATTTTTTTTTAAATTAGCATTAGCTTTTTTTGTAGATAGATTCTTGTTTAATGGTGTAAATTAAACAAGATCATGATATGGGATGATACAAATGTCACTACTGATAAACACAACAAAATACACCAATACAACAAGGACCAAATAAAGCTTAATACAAAGTACAAACCCAAAAAACAACAAACTCTAATAACAGACCTCTAATTAAAACTATTTCACATCATTAATTATTATTTTTTATTATTATTCTCATTCTTATTCTTATTCCTGGCCAGCTTAGTACTTAACTAGCTTCCTTCAACTAACTCATTAAGTCCTGGTCGCCGCACTCTGGTCTTTCCCCGTCTCCTGAGCGGTGTTTTGGATCGTCTGGCCGACGTCCTTCGTCTTCTGGCCGATCTGCACCACCGCATCCTGCACCCTCTGCTTCGCGTACTCCATTTGTTCCGGCATGGACCTCCCGTGTCGGAGGTACTCCATGAGCCAAGACAATGATGAGAGGCCCGACAGCCCGAGTGCCCCCGACGTGAGGAATCCGGCGACCGCCAGCCCGATGGCGGCGGCCGCCGGGACGATCACGGGGCTGAAGAGGAGGAAGAGCGGCGTGACGGCCATGAGTCCTAGCAGGGTCCCGGCTAGCGTGATCCCTGCGAGTCCCAAGAGGGTCCCGACGACCGGCAACAGGGTGACGATCATCAGAACCTGCGTGGCGGTGGGACCCTCCCTGTGCTGGTTTTGGGGGAGGAGGGAACCGCCCTTCATGCGGTCGGCGGCATCGTACCCGCCACCGATCGTCGGGTGGACTTGGAGCTGGTGGGTCCTGGCGGTGGCCATGGAAGAGTTTCAGAGTGTCAATGACAATAATGGTATTGGTATATAGTCCCTAAATGGGATTGAGAATTGATTTAAAGAAGAGGTGATTACTGAAGAACTTATTGGGGTGACTAAAAAATGCGTGGAGGGAGTGTATATATATATATATAGAAATAGAAAATGAATGAATAAAAAAGGAATAAAAGGGGAAATGCAACGTGTAGGAATGCATGCGAAGGACTTTGCATGGCAAACATGTAAGTGCTTCATTGGCAATTGTCATTCGATTTTTGGCTGTGTCGGTGTTAGATACCCTTCTCTCATCTTGGTTAATTTATGCAAATGGGGCTTAAATATACCATTTTTTGCAAATAGGATCGGTCTTATTCACTATGCGGTTTGGTAATGGAAAGTTCTAAAATATCATACATTTGAAAATGCGAGTGTTTCGCTAATAGTCGGAAAAATGACAAGCATCCAAAATGACTACAAATGGATGTTAATAATGTCCTCTCTTATTAAAAAAGACTTATTATACAATTCAAGTAGAATAAAATATTATTAAAAAAAGTTTGAATACTCATTTAAATAATCAGACATCATCTAAAACTAGTTGCTAATGATTACATTTGTAGAGTTATTCGTATAACGAGTCATTATCCAACATTTGTTAATGAGGACAGATATGACATATACGGAGTACAAAATATGTATCACTAAGGGAATAAAACATACGAGTATTTAATTCTACTCAGAGAAACGTACTACCTTTTAGTTCTATATGCAATAATAAATTATCCTTAAATCTTCCCCCATTTGATAAGGTTATTTAAAATAGAGTCAATTTTGTTTTGTAACAGGTGATGATGATTTTTCATATTTAGTTCCATATTATATTAGTTCCATATTATATGGTCTTAAATTTTTAGAAACGATTCTCTAATTGGTCCTTTAGACAAAATGTGACCAAATGTTTCTTTCTACATATAGTACCCAAAAGCATATTTACGGAATAAATGTCAAAAATTGAGGACCATAAATGTAATATTTTTTTATTTGGAGACAAATATGGAAAATCATTTCTTATAAGGGACTCTTCCCAAATAAATATTTCCTTGCAAATTTGATAAAGTTGTTATTTAAAATAGAGTAAATTCCCTTATAACAAGTAATTTTTTATATTCGGTATTCACTCCTATATTATACGGAGTATCATTTAAGTCATTTTTCTACACGAAATAATTTGTAACTTATAAGCAGCTTATAAATTAAAAATTGTTTATAAGTAATAAGTCAAGAAACAACAACATAAAGAGATTCCCACATAATATCAACAAATTCATTTTGAAACATATTTTTGAAATATCATATTTTTATAATTTATATTTATTTCAAATAAAAATATTAATAATTAAAGTGGTACATAAAAAATCAAATTAAAGGAAAGATATGAGACGTATGGATCGGAGTATAAAATTAGGAGCTTTGATCTCTATATGGGATCACACTTGACATGTACAATAGGTTTTTAAAATTGGTGTTGAGTATGTCGTTTATCCTTTACTAATATTACTCCTTCATGATAATTCCACAAGTGGAGAATATATTTGGTAAATTTTTTTACACGCCAACATGCCATGTAATTTATGGAGTATGAGTTGGTAAATGGTAATTAGCTCTTTGCCTTAATAAAAATTTACGGTGTATATTTTTTCCACAATTAAAGCTATTTATGGAGTTCACATGTTATAAAAACTCATATTTCAATACTTCGTATAATTTATCCCGTTAAGCAATTTTAGTAATTTTAACCCAACGATTTTCGTAATTCTTGCCTTATACTCCGTATAATTTTAGTAATTTTTTTTCTAATCTTTTTGCTTTATGGAATTTTAGTTATTTTCACCAAAGATAGTTTACCATATTTTTTTGAGCTTCACCTTGGACTGTGTGATAGGAAGCCAACTCTTTAAGATTAATAGGTAAGCTCACCCAAGTTTAAAATGTAGCAGGAGCAAAAGCATTGACTTGACTATTTTGTAAACGATCAAATATTTAAATCAAATAAATTAGAAAAAAGATTTAATATGACTTTTGTACTTTATCTTGACAATTTGACTTACTATTTTAATCGAAAGAAGTTTATACGATAAATTATCATTTTTACTGGGTTGTAACTTAAAATTTATAAATTTCTTTGTGTAATAATTCATTATTTATGTGCATGAAAATAAGAAAATTTGAATGAGAGAGGGCTCACTTCCTAGCTTTTCATTTACGCAATCGTACATAGAAATTTATGTAAAAAAGATTGTGATAGGAAAAATCATAGTGTGGAGGGCAGCGTGAGTAGATATGTGACAATGAAGATATATATATGTGTGTGTGTGTGTGTGTGTGTGTGTGTGTGTGGAGATAATCAATAAAATAAAAAAATGTGCGGAGAAGATGCAAGGTGTAAAAGCAAATAAGATGGAGACTCGGGTACAACCACATCAAAAAGAAATACAATTTCAATTTATAAATATTTGTATTTTGATAAATATTTTGTATTGACTAGAATGCTCGCTATCAGAAAGTTGAATGCTTTTGCATTAAAAATTTTTTAAAAAAGAATCAAAATAGTCAAGTATTTTTGCAAAATTTTCCTTCAAGAACTCAATCAAAACAAAACTGAGATATTTTTATCTCCAAATAGTATTATTGCAATGTAAAAATGAAGGACTGCACATATGCATTTCATTGTTATTGATATCATATGTTGGTACTATTGGCATTCTTATTTCGGAGACAAAAAGATGAATGTTCTATTTTAATTTTATTTCCTATGTTTTACTCATATACTATGTACTAATCTTTCTCCCTTTCTCTTCAGAATCATCGTAGCACTAATCATTTTTTTATATTTATATTTTTTAAATTAATACGGGAGAAAAGAATCATTGTATTTTATTTTTTTAAACTAATATTTTCAATCATAGAATCATATGGTCGCTAATACAAAATTTATTTTTAATAAGGCGAGAAAAAAGAACAATTTTCGTAATCAATGTGGTGAAGGAATCATTTTTTTGCTAATATAAATTAATATGAGGGAGAAGAATCATGTTTTTTAATCGTAGAATCATAAGATGAATTTTTCAAAACTAATGAAGGAGGAAAGAATTATAAGTTAACTTTGCATTGATTTTTTTGAATTTATATATATAGGGAAAAGAATTATAAATTTTTAAAAATTCAATCAACCTAAATCATTTATATTTGATGTTTAAATTATATGCCTTATAGAAAAAGTCAAGTAATTTTAATAATTCACATTGTAGAATCAAAACCAATTTCATCTCATCCCGTGCATGACATGAGCAAAAATATTATCTTCTACATTCCACAAAATCCTTCCCCTTTCGTTTTTTTTATTTTCCACACAGTAATAATCAAACTATCATATCTTACTTTTTTCCATCACATCAGGGGCAAAATTGGAAAGTCAACCAAAATTACAATTTCTTTATTTTTGCCCAAAATCAAAATGGAATGATTTTGTGGAAAGGAAGTAGTAGTATATGAATATTCGTGTCTTTGTGTGTCCATGCATGCCTATATACATATGCATACATCATATATGCACACATAATATATGTGTATTTTGGCATTAAATTTTTAAAAATATCCTTTGATGTGATAGGTAAAAGTATGATTCGATAGATAGATTATTAGTAAAAAGGTATGATGTGATAGGTAGGGTATGAAAAAGTAAGTGGTAAAAGTGACTTTTTAATAGAAATGAGAAGTGTTTTTTGGGACGGATAAAAAAAGAAAGGAGAAAGGTTTTCAGGGAGGGAGAGAGTATTGTATCGATACGCACACACACTATATATATGTATATGTATATACTCCCCCTGTCCCTAAATAAACTTCCTCTTTCGTTTTTTCTTTGTCCCCAAATAAGCTTCTCTTTTCCCTTAAAAAACCTCTTATAGCTCTTACTTTTTCATACCCTACCTATCACATCATACTTTTTTATTAATGATCTACCTATTACATCTTACTTTTATACATCACATCAAGAGTATTTTTGGAAAGTCAACACAAAAATATCCCTACTTTAAATACTCAAAAAGTCAAAAACGAAAGTTTATTTAGGAACGGAGGGAGTATGATTCTTTGATCTTTTCCATTACAAATTTGATTATAAATTATACGTATTACACATATTATATGTCATCATCAACAACCTCGGAGTGATCGAACGAAGACAACGAGTGGTCAACGGCCGGAAATGAAGGCATCCCATAAGTTTGACGGTTATTATTCACGTCCTGAACGCCGCCGACGTGAGACCCCCTATCCCGGCGGTGATCAAAAGCCGGCGGTGGCGCGGCAGCATTCTGTTGGTTGAGAACTCCCATTATTCCGGCGGGCGGCAGGTGGGCCCGGCCGCCGGCGGCAGTGGTGTACCGCATGATGTCGGCATTGGCTTCGTCGAGCTCTTTCTGGAGGAGGAGCACTTGTCGCTGGAGCATCGAGATGGCCCCCACGCACCCGTAGACCGGATCCCGGGCCCGCGCCTCCGCCTCGTAAGCGAGGGAGTTGACGGCATCCTGCCTCTGGTGAGGTGGGATGTCGTTCAGGAGTTTTCCGACGTTGCTAGCGCCGAAAATCTTGTGGACGTTGGCGAACTTCTGGGGCTCCTCGGGGGGAAAGTACGAGGCGAAAATGCACTCTAGGGTGCATTTTCGCCTCAGTAGCTTGCAGGCCGCGCATGGCGGGCTTGAGTAGTTGGAAGCTGATGATGATGAAGGCATGTACATATATATTGTATCTTGTGGGCTGAATGTATATGTATCGAAATGTCAGAGCCGATCATGAATATAATTTTTTAAAAATAGAAATATTTTTTTTGACATAATATCAGAATTTTATCGACTAAAAGGTCACGAATTCGAACATTGTCGGCATCCAAGTTTCAACAACAACTAGAATAATAACTCAGTTGAATTTCACAAGCTTAGGGTATATGTATGGGGAGGGTGTACGTATACGTACATTAACCCTACCCAAAAGTTGAGAGCTTATTCTCGAGAGAATCCCGGCGCAAGTAACACATATAGCAAAAACTCAGTGAAGGCACATAAAGATACATACATCAGAGGAAAGACAAGCACGAAAAGCCAAGACAAATAATATTAATGAGAGAAAGGTATATCAAGTAGAAAGCACAAAGCAAAAAGTGAGAAATGTACCATCTAATCCAAGATGTCTATCCAACTACCCTAATCTTCATTTTCTAAATTAACAGGTTATATCTAAGGTCATATTTTCGATAAGGATCAGAAGTATTAGCTTATGTCTGATCACATTCTTTCTATTCTTTCTAGGTCTCCCCTAGCCCTACCCTCACCCACCAGCGTGAGCCTCTCACACCTCCGCATTATGCATCAACACTCCGACGTATCCCAATCCCAAACCACCTCAATCTAGCTTTCCATAACTTATCCTCACCCGGTATCACTCTCATTGTCCTCGGACAATCTCATTCTGAATCTTACCTAACCTCGTCTTTCCACACATACACAACAGCATTTGCATCTCTAAAACATTCAGCCGACGACCGTGGATCTTCCAAAGTGTCCAACACTCTACATCATTCAACATAACTACTTTGACTATAGCCCGATAAAACTTACACTTCATCGAAGCTAGAATCTTCATATCGCACAGAACCCTGAAGCCAACCTCAATTTTTCACAAACAACTCCAACACGATGTGTAACATCGGTATCTTACTCCCCTTCAGCTTGAATGACTGATCCAAGATACCGAAAGTCTGAAACTTGTCAACCTTGAGCACGAGGTGGGAGTCAATCCTAACTTAGCTTCCTCCTCTAAGTCTCTCACAAGACCACTGAAACAACATTTCATGTATTCAATCTTAGTTCTATAGATCCTACTCAGTCTCCAAGCCTTAAGATTCCAAAGTGATGTGCCAAAGCTCAAGCTTGTCATTTAGTCTCTCAAATGTTTCGTCATCCAACACAATATCGTCACTAAATAACATGCACCAGTGAACCTCCCCTTAAACTCCCTATGACAAGATGTTCATCATGAGAGCAAACAGGAACGGGCTCAAGGTAGACCCCTGGTGTAATTCCGCCTATATATACACAGAATGGCTCATAGTCACCCCGGCAGTCTTTGCCCTACTCCTTGTCCCGTCGTACATATCCTTGACTGCACGAATGTATGTGATAGGAACCCCTCCCGACTCAAGACACCTACACAAGACCTCTCTCGGCAAATTGTTGTACGCCTTGTTGAGGTCAATTAACACTATGAATATCCTTCTTCTTAATCCTATACTCTTCCATCAATCTTTGTATATTAGGAGGTGATTGAATAGCCTATGTGGTCGATCTGCCAATTTTAAAAAATTAATCTTTAAGTGCAAGGTTCAAGCAAAAGTAAATCTCGCCTCTACGTGAGATCGAGTGTATGTTAGAACATATTTTTTTTGAGTCTACAATTACAAACTTGCTTATGCTTGAGCTGATTTATTGACAAATCTTTTACTCTGCTTTGCTTTGGGGGGGAATATTTTAGTTTTAAAGTTCATGATAAATTTCATTTTTTTCACATTTGATTGAACTGGTTTTTTCATGCTAAATTTGATTTTTCATGAACCAGAACTTAGAGATCCGATGCCGAAGTAAACGGGCTGGGGTCTTGGAAAATTTGTCTTTCTATAGTAATTTGAAAGAACTACGGATAGGAGTCACTGGCGGATCTACCCCATAAGAGTTGGGGGCTAATGCCCCCTACTAAATTTATTTTTCAAGTTAAAGTTTTTTTTTAAAAAAAAATTATGTATGTATGCCCCAACAAAAATTAATAAGACCTCATCTATGCCCCCATCTAATTAAGATGGTTTTAAAGTTTTTATTTAATTTTTTTTACTAAATTTCATTTTATTACATACTTCTTCTTTTTTCTTAAAAAAATTTCTTTCATTTTTTCCCTAAAACACTTTCATTTTTGTAAAAAATGACTAATATATCTAAATTAAATTGTTGCAATATACTCAATTCAATTTGGATTGAAGTAATAAGTCATTTAAATAATTTATCTCACTTTTTTTCGATGATAAAAATATAATTAGAAGGTCAAACTACAAAAATAAATCCTTCCCAAATCAAAATAGGAATGTCCGAAACAAATTTTATTACTCTAGTATTGTTTTGTCAATTTATATTGTCTATTAAAAAATTCAGGTACGTTGTCCCCGGACCCCCGACTAATAGTGCCCCCATCTAGCTAAAATCCTAGATCCGCCGCAGATTGGAGTACAATTATATCACTGGGTTTTTTAAAAAAAATACGAAAACTGAAAATTTTAATAATTGGTACTAGAAAAGTTAAAGTTTGTGGTTAAAATTTATTTGAAAAAAGTTAAAGAGAAATAAAATTTGTCTACGTATATGCTTCGTATTTTCTTAAACGAAAAGTTGAAAAATATAAAATTGATTTTTAGACACATTAAACACGAAAAGTGTAAAATTTATTTATGAAGAGAATGGCTCTTGATAATTAAAGCCTAGATATTTAAGGTATATATAACATACATCCGGAAGTACGGTGTCTCCTGTACATCTGCTTGAATACTCATTTTCGAGTAACAAAAATGCAAATTTTCGAGTAATAGAATACTTATTTTCAAATTGAATACTCATTATCGAGTATAACTAAATTTTAAAAAATTAAGTATCGAAAATGAGCATTCAATTACTCATAAATGAATACTCTCCGTACATGTGTGTGAAATACCGTATAACCGGTTGTATAATATATATTGCGAAATATTTATGTGATCAGTCCTTCATAGAATCATATACTCTGTATATGGATGAACAAGCCAATCACGTGTTGCAACAGGATTTGCTACAAGGAATTGGCTGATAATTGAGAATCAATAAAGAGACATTAAAATGCTCATTATTAGTTCATCATAATATAAAATTAATTACATAAATATAGAATTTAAATTTAATATTGTGCTCCATCCATTTCACAAAAATTGTCTTTTAAGGTTTATAAAATACATTAGATTTTGAATGAATGTAGATTGTAGACTTAATTATGTATACATCCATTCAAAATTTAATCTATCTAATAAATCTTAAACGACAATTATTGTGGAACGATTGGGTACTTTTTATTTGATGGATTACAAATAAATATGGGGTAATTTTTAATAAATTATATATTTCATATATTATCATTCATATTGATGTAGCTAGGAATACAATTCACAGAATTTTAATTTTATAATGTTGGTCAAACTAGGACTACTTAAAATTATTAGGAAAATGTTAGGGTGCCACCACATGGGTGCACCCATCGTAGCACCCATGTGGTGGCACCCTAGCATGGTCCAAATTATTATATATATTGGGCACTAATAAATTTACCTTTGAAGGATTGAGTCATTGAGTGAATGTATAGTGACTTTTTTTTTCTTAGACCACCACATTCTAGGCTGTTGCCAATGTGTTTAATTTGGCAGTATTTTTGGGATGTCATTATATTATGATAAGAAATCACTATAAATAGAATTAAAATATTGAGAAAGTGTCAAGATAGAAGTTTTATGTTTTTATTTCTAAAATAGAAGTTTGCATTAGAGTAATATGACACTGCATATTGACATTTTATACTCAGTACTACGGAGTACTTTTTTGGTAATGCATATGGTCATGCTTGACACCACTGTGTATAGTATGCATTTTAATTCATATTCCGTGGATAAAAACATACGGAGTATATAGAACTCTTATTTTATTTGGTATATTTCTAATATTTTACTTTTCCTTTAGTTTTTTTCCCTTCCAAGATCTATTGTTCTGGTTAGAAAAATTAACTCTCAACTTTCTCTAATTTCTTCAAATTTTTTTCGGCCAACAACTTAAAAAACTTTTTTACGTATAATGAATTTACAATGACATTCTATATTCAAATTTATAATTTACCATCTGATCTCAAACACGGACAAAGATGAATTTTTTAATCTAAATTTAATTTTTTATGTATTTATTAATTGAATGATTTTTCTAATACTTTTCCTTTTTCTGTACTCTCTAGCTTCTTCCAGTATTTTCTAACTCCTTCATCTTTCTTCCAATTCATTTCAGTTTCTTCTAACATTCAACTTTAAAATTTAAACCGGAAAGGTAGGCCCTAAGTTTTTTTAAAATAATTTATAATTTTGAGAGATATATCTAACAAGAACGACCTCTACATTGAATAACCACTTTTGTATAAGGAGAATCAATCTCAACATAATATACCAACATTTCTTCATTGCAAATAGTAAAATGTTGACTGTTGATTAATTAAGCTTAATTATAGACCTATTAAATAGTATAATTCATCTCACGAGTCATGACTATATATGATTATTCTCGTATATATTGTTCTCGGTCAATACAATTAATTTATGCTTTGACATTGTAGTTTAGGAATATAATCCCGTATTTTTAACGTGATCGAATCACGTAAATATTATAAATATTGTATTTTTCACTTAAAAAGAAATGCAAAAAGTATATACACTAATTTATTTTGGAACAAAAAACAATGAAGAAGTGGTAACCCTTTTGTGGATGTCACATAGGCGCAGACCCAAAGGACCCTAAATTTTTAGGCTCGTATATATTTATGCACTCCATATATATTACAAATAAAATATCTAATGACTTCCACATTACTTATTTAAATAAGTAATTACTACACAACTTGTTTGTAAAAATGTGTATATGTTTTCCTTTAAAACACTCGTTTGGTCCTTGAAAACCTTTCTCTTTTCTTTCATCCGTCTTAAAAACTTTACTCATTTCTATTAAAAATTTGGTTTTATCCCTATTAATTCTTAACATATCTATCACATCACATCTATTCACTATTAATCTACCCATCAAATCTTACTTTTATCTATCACACCAAAGGATATTTTTTGAAAACTCAACATCAAAATGCACTCCTCTTAAATATCTTAAAAATCAAAACATCTCATGTTTTTAGATACGGAGGGAGCATCTAATTTTCTTTGAATTTGTGAATACATTTTTTCATCACAAAAGGGAGTGTAAACTTCATTGTGAGATGAATGAATTCTAAGAGCAGGAGGTGAGTAATATGTCATCTCTTCAAAAGAAATTTCTCATTTTTCTATCAAGTTTGTTTTTTTTAAGAAAAACAATGAATGGTTTACATAGTTTTATTTCTTTGCTGACACGAATTTTTATCGTATAAAATTATGAGAGAAAATTTCTTTTGGGACAGACAAAGAAATACTCCACTTCTTTTGTTTCACAAAATTTTTCAACTTTCTTATTTTACACGTCTCATAAAACATTTTAATTTCTCCAAAATGGACTAAAATACCCCTTTTTAACCATACTTTCCCACATTTCATCCGCCACATTTCATCTTACTTTTGTTTTTTAATTACTCCTCATTATTTTTAACTATTCATTTATGTGAAACATCACTTTTAAAAAGAAACCCTTAGGGCACTTGTGGAAGATCAAACACCAAAGTACACCTCCATTAAATCACCAAAAAGTCAAAACTTTTTGATTCTTTTTTCCCATTATTCTTAACTATTCATTTATGTGAAACATCACTTCTAAAAAGAAACCCTAAGGGCATTTGTGGAAGATCAAACACCAAAGCGCATCTCCCTTAAATCACCAAAAGTCAAAATTGGAAAACTTTTACGGGACGGAGAGAATATGTAAGTCTCCCCATAGTTTATTGTGTAGGGCATGTTGTGGGCATATATGGTAATGTAGGGTTAGGGCATCATGCGTTTATACTTACTTCAATTCCGGAGTTTAAGCCTTTATATGTGTTGATATCCGACATTCCTCATGCATACTTCCGCAAAAATAGCTACACTTTTTCTAAAGGCTGCGTTTGGATGGAGGTAATTAATTTTATGGCTTTTATAAAGACTTCAAGGATTTTTGTCTATGGTATTCATAAATAAATCTTGCAGTAAATTAAAATAAATTGAGTCAAAGAGTTTTTTCTTTTCTTTTTGATAAGTCTAATTAATTAAGAGTATGAGAATGGAATTGTTTAATTACAATAGTAAAAGAAATAGTTTGAAATGATTTTTAACTTTTGTGGGGATTGATTGATTCCCCGAATTTATTTCATGGAAATAAACTCACTATTTCTTTTAAGATTTCATTTCATACTTCCTCTTATTGACTTTTTGAGGATTTAATGAAGGATATTTTTGTGTTGACTTTTCAAAAATACCCTTGATGTGATAGGTAAAAGTAAGATGTGATATGTTGATTTTTAGTAAAAAATTTATGATGTGATAGGTAGGGTATGAAAAAGTAAGGGGTAAAAGTGGTTTTTAATAGATAAAGAAACATCTTTTAGAGACAACAAAAAAATGAAATGGGAAGATCTTTTAGGGACAGAGGGAGTATATTTTTAAACATTATTTCCAAGGTCACTTTCATTTTTAAGGATGAAACTCGTCCTTGATGGTTCCTCCCTTAGACACGGCCGAATAGTTACTGGGATAAAATAAATTGGATTTTGATCGTAGATCGATGACAAATAGTAGATTGTCCAAATTTTGGTTGTGTGCATCCAACCAAATACACTCTAAATAACATATAAACATTGTTAAATACCAATGAATGATATAAGTATTTCAAAACGTACTTTCTAATATTTCGCTACTCTGACCCCATAAATATGAAGTATTTTAGAAAATGAACAACTAATTAAATTCGGACACATGAAGCATAAATGAATAATATCTCCTATGTCCACAATAATATTCATAGTCACAAAATTATCTTTGTAATTTTCGAAATGCATTCTTCTCCTAAAATTTTCAAAAGTAGTTGCATTCTCTACATATGATAGATCAATATTATTTCTATCTTATTTCCTATACACAAATTACAATCCAAAATTTCCTAATATATTAAAAATCATATATCAAGTCAATCTATGAAGAAATTAAAATTACGGGACGGAAGGAAATTAAGAGATCAGATCTAACCTATGAACAACATGAACCATAATTGGATCACTCAATATTTCTACTCTGTATTTTAAAAAAAAAAAACCAAGGGTTTCTGAACCTTTATATATATAGGGATTATATTTTAAGTACAAAAATAGCAGTTATATACATATATAGTACATACCTTTCTGAGATGATTCTTGAATATATTTCTTGCTAGTGTTTGTGGGGTTCCAAGCTAGCTAGAGCTATATATATATATATATATATATATATATATATATATATATATATATATATATATATATATATATATATATCACTTGATCTGTCTTTGGAGTTAATTATATATATATAATACCTTAAATGAATAATATTAATATTCAAAGCTTGAGATTTAACCTTATTATGGATGAATAATTAAAGAATTGCAGAAGTGGGAATTGGAAAATGGAAGAGAAGAAAGATGGAGAAGAAGAAGATGATGATGATTAATGGAGAATTATTGAAGATTAGAAAAGATCTAATTACCAAAATAAATAGGGAGGTTTAGGGCAACAACAATGATTAGACAAGGGTTAGTGCTGTTTTATGGATCTTATTGTTAGCTAGCTAGATATAGATATAGTTATAGGCTCTATATATATATCTACCGACAGACGCTATACAAAACAAATTGCAAATAGTGGGGGTTAACTTTTTTTAATGGGAGATATTGGGGTTAATTATCTAGGGGTTCGGTTTATGTGACAATATCTCTACTGTGAAAGTATGAGAATGGTGTACTCTCAGACCGTCGTGATGCATTTTACACTTGTAATATGTAGTGCATTTTTGAGAAGTTCAATTTATTTATCAAATTGCCAGTGTAATTTTTTCACTTTTTCAATTTTTTTTAAATTTTTAATAGCTCTTAGATCTTAAATCTAGTATGTCGTATGCATTCCTATTTCTTTCACTCTGCGTTGTTATCATTTGAACCAAAATCAAATTTTCTATTAATGAAAATGCTTAAATAATAAATAAATATAGCAACGTAACACAAAAACATACGGAGCAACATTTATTTATAAGAAAATGACATATTTTTAATTATACCCCGTGAAAGGCACTAAATTTGGTATTTTATATTGACATTACATAATATTTTTTAACATTGTGTTTTGACATTATTATTTTAATGATTTCATAGGAAATGTTTCATAGAGTATGAAATTAAAGTAGAATGGTCTGATTTCTTGTTTTTGTATCAAACTTTGTTGAGGTGCATGTGAATTTATAGTGTGCATTTGGGTTAAAAAAAGTTATATTCTAGTATAAAATATTGAAGGTTTTATTTTGGTATATATGTGAGACATGTTAATTTATTCTTAATTAGGTATTTTCTCCTAATTAATAAGTGAAATTTGCCCTAAATAGGACTAAAACATAATGACTTTCCTAATGTAGGACTTAAACTTTTTTATTCCCTAAATAGGACTTAATAATGACCTAATGGGAGGAATAATGTCCAGTAATGATGGACATTTACTTGAATAATGACTACTTCATAATGACCAAAGGTCCTACATTGGGAAATAAAAAAAACTTATAGTCCTATATTGGGAAAGTCATTATCTTTTAGTCCTATTTAGGTAAATTTATCAAATAATAATAGTGTTAACAACTACAAAAAAAATAATAGTGTTAATTATATTGTTCATTTGTATATCGATTAGTGATCATCCATATGCGGATAATATGCTTGATTATTTGCATAAATTTTTATCATACAATTCAACTTATAGAAAAATGTATGTAAAACAAAATAATTAAGAACTTATCAAATGGAGGAAATATAAGATTTAAATGCTAATTTTTTAAAATCTCGTGTGTGAAAATATTGACATTATTTTAGAAATGGTTTGTATAAAAACTCCTTTGGCGTAGTGATATGATGGGTAGTGTTGGTAACTTTATTTGTAATATTTTCTTTACAGTTTTAAATTGTTTGAAATTTGTCCTTGACTCTAGACTTTCCCCAATATATTCTTTTGTAGAAAAAGACTCCAATTCCTTTATTCATGTCAATGCCGGTTTTTTGAAGGATTCTTGGTCCATACTCCTTTTAAGCCTCCCATGTAATTAAAAGTCTTATAGTATTTTTAGAATATACTTGATGATATCTTTTTAAAATTTCAAATAAAACTTTTTAATTTATCGAGGATGACCCCATCTTCGAGGGTCTCTTCCGAGACGATCGGATGGTAAGTATGAAAAGATAAATTAGACTTTGATCACAAAGTGATGATAAAGACTAAAGTTTGCATTTGTACTTGCAGATGCAGTTGTCAGAAATCAGACCTAGGGATTAAGCCATAACCACCCCTTGTTTTGCCAACAACGCAACGCCACATGCAAACTTTGTATTTCATATGTCGCCCAAAATATTATACTCTCCGTCCCGGTTTAAATTTCATGTTTTATTTTACGATGTTTGTCTAAAATTATTTTGAAGATAATTTATTTGAGAATTAGGGCGAAATTAAAAAGATAACATTTACACATTTTAAAAAATACATAAGAATTTTTACAAAACAAGAGGTGACATTACTATAATATTTAATCAAATGACTAACAAAAATAAGAAAATAAAATGAATAAATATGAATTATATAAATAGTAAATAGATAACCTAATTTACACGTTGGGAGTATTTTCTTTTTAAAAAATTCAATTACATAAGACTTTTTGGATAGGTATTATTGGCCATTGGGCGATGAACTTCTTGACTGGTCCAAACGAAGAAGTATATCACGAGAAATGGGCTGCAATTCAACTTCTTGAGGCGCTAAGAATTGGGCTTGTTCTCTCCATGATGTGTTTGGGCTCCGGCCCAAACTGAATCTCTTCTTCAAAAATTTGAGCTCATTTCACCTTCCACTACTCCACTATTCTCTCAAAATAAGATATCAGGTAGTTTTGATTAGGAAAAAAATAGTAAAGTATAACAATTGATTACAATATTACTAAAATAAGAAAGAAAATAATAAGAATGAAAAAATAAAAAATAAAATAAAACTAATCTAAACAAATAAATATCATGTACTAAAAACATTGTGGATACTTAAAAGAATATAAAAACAAAGATACTACCTAAAACCAACTTAGAAAAATCCCACACTTAAGATTTGAGCATCCTCGATCAAAGGGCCAAACCGAATATACTTCGTATAACTTTTTTTTAATAAGGAAAATGTACTTTAGAGACTTTGTGACCATTCACATTGTTGGATTCTAATTAAAGTGAGTATAAAATCCTAAAATGCTAGAGAACTAAACTATGAATTTTTTTATCCTAACAAATGCTCTAAGGTTGCAACAACAAAAACTTTTCTAATGGAATCTTATGCCCCAAAATGATTCAATATATAGCATCAGTAGCAAGGTTTATCAATAAACCTAAAAATATATAAAAATTACCCACTTTCCAAAAATAAAAATAGGCTTTTAAAATTGGTTTCTTTTTTAGATTTTAATTGATCAAGCAATGATGATTAAGACAACATTTAGATAGGACAAAGTATGTGGATAACTAGTTATAGAGAATGAAATTTATGAACTCCTTTAAGAATTTCAAACATTTTAATATCATTTTACCATTACTAAAAACATATGATTTTATCAAGAAAATGAGTATAAGACTCATTACGAGACTATAAAAGATGGGAAAATGAGATTATTGAGTCAATTTAAAAAATACTAATCTAAATGAGAGAATATACAACTAAGAATGGGAAAATAATTCAAACCCAAAACTTATTTATGAAATAATTGTAAGTGCTTGCGTCATACTCTTCTAGGAGCATGAGTGAGTGAATTTGTTCACTTCGTACTTTATCATTAATTTTGGTGCGATTCATGTGATATTGATTACCAATGACATACTCGAAAATAAGCTCAAATTGGAGTTCTTATGGTGTTTTTTCAAAAAAAAAGATGGTTACTGAAATTAAAATTAGATTTTGAGACTTCGCATCTACTAAAGCATATGACTCAGAGGGGGTTTAAGCACCTACGGCAGAAAATATTGCAAACAGAAAAAACGTAAAACATGACACCTAATATATTTACGCACTATGTGAAACCCACGTTTGTGTAATAGGCATCTACTAAATCACCAGTGAGAATTACACGAGTACATAATAATATATATGATGAGACTAGACCCAATCATGGGCTTGGGTATCCGACCCGACCCGATAGGCCCGCTCGAAAAAATGCGGGCTTGGGCTTGAGTTTTAGCATTCAGCCCAGCCTGACCCGTAAATTTCGGGTACCCGCAAGTGTTGCGGGCCGAGTTTGGGTTGTGTTGTTAATTAAAGCTTGCAGGCGGCCGACCCGATCCCTATAAATAATTAATATGAAAGTATAAATAATACGAAGTTGTCGAAGTAGTATAAAATATATACCTTTTACATGGAATATAATTACTTAAAAAATATACAAAATATTATTCATTAGTCACTTTTTGCTTATGCGTTTACTAAAATTTTAGTGCAAAGTATGTACTCTAGTTCCATAGGATTTTCTTATATAAAGCAATCCAATTCTATATATATATATCTCATATCATCGCAATTCAATATTGCCTTCCTTTATAATAATATTAATTTATTTGTTGAGAGGATGTTGTTCACCATAAAAAATGTTGATCATATATTCATTCTTCCCGTGTTCCAACACATGAAAGGGGAAGGAAAACAATGGATGACATTTTTCAGGGCAAAGAGATTTTTCAATATTGTGGATTTGAATGACGATCTTATATTTGACGAAAATAAAGAAATGATCGAATAATTTTTAAATTTTGCTTGAGATTTCACATAGACTCATTCTACATCCAACATACTCCCCCCGTCCTATAATGATCTTCCCGGTTCGCAAAACGAAGAAAAATCCCAAGTTTTTTCAATCTATTTTATTTAAATATTGGTATAGAAATAAAAAATAAAAGATACATAATTAAAAAACTACACCAAAAGTTCAACAAAACAAGTGGTGACAAGAATATTTTATTTTATCATATAGGCCATGAAAAAATACAAATAAATATAAATTCCCGTGAAGTTGGAATAGTGCTCTGGGAAGATCATTATAGGACGGAGGGAGTATTTGCAACATTCTAAACCATATGAGATTTTGTTAACAGAACAC